GTTTTGTTACCAGTGTATACCAGTATTCTATGTGATTGTGCATTTAGTTTGCATATGTAAAATTGGTGTCTAATTTCTTCCATAGAAATTGCTATAACCATGATACAATGTTGCTTCAATGTGCAAAATATTAATAGTTTGTGCATCTTGGTCTCATGTTTCAAACTTAACTAATTTTACTGTTTAATTTATGTCAAATTTCTTAATAGGAATCAGTATTCTATGTGCACATGTATGTCTGAGTGTTGCCATATGTTAATACTGTATGAATCTGTAATTTGTTTCTTGAATTGTCTGATGATATCTGATAAATTATAAATTGTCTTTTGTGCTGTTAAATGATGTAGTATCTGCCTATCTATCTCATATGGAAATGAAGATGCTCATTGATAATAATATTATTATTAAAATCATACAAACACTAGCAGTATTGTTATTATCAATTGTTATGATCATATGTAGAAATAGTTCTAGTACAAGTATTTTCTAGGTAAGGCCATGTTGATTTGATTATATGGATGACATCCGCGCGCGTATGAATTTTCGGCCGTTTCCAAAAAAAAAAAAGAAGTTTTCAACCATACTGTAAATCGTACAAAACAGTTGCAAAATGAGCAAAAATATACCATAAGTTACAAAAAAATTAATAGAAACTATACCAATGTCGTAGAATGCCAAAATCAAATGAAAAAAGACGAAATTGTAAAGAAATGAACTTGAAGACTAGATTATTCGCCAAACCATACTCTGTGCCATTTGCTCAACCCTCATGACCACGAAGATTTCATAATGAAAAGAACTTTTTTTTTGCAAAACTTTTTTTTTTATTGGCACGCGCATCAGTTTTGAGGCTCCCGGAGGATGTCATCCATATAATCAAATCAACATGGCCTAATGTTAACCAATAACAACTTTATCATGTAAATAGTGAAACCAGTTTGTTTCTTTTCCTTGTGGGACAACCAGTCCCTACTTTGCATAGCAATGAACACGATCCAATGCTTTTGACAAGTTTGCAAAACAAGTAGGACAATTAAAATGATAGGTTGCCTTAAGGGACTTGTAGCCGGGTTATGTGGGTATTCCAATTAAGGTTATGGATTAAGTTTGGTTCCGTGTTTAAAGTTTTGATCTATGACCGAAGTCACCACAGTAACAACGTGGAAGATAGGAATTTGGGGCTATCTTTATCAAAAAGTCGAATGTATTGACTATCGTTGTGGCAACATGTTTAAAAGTTACATTGAAGATGAAGCACTACTGTTAGACGTCAAACTTTACGCATTTTGATCACGAATATACTTCATTCAGGCCATCGAAGTTACTTTATAAATTAATTTAGGGGCACGGTGTTCTGCAAGGTAATTCAGTAAATTACACTAATTTTCTCTTCCCCTAGGCATCGTGTGTAATAGGCCTGGTGTAGCAAATCTTGTCACCTCTTAATTGATAGTGAGACTACTTTCCTCTCAAAATTGTCTTTTAAGAAGCATTTTCTTGTTTGCTCTTCATCAATAATGCAAACTTCTTCCCTTTATAAGTAACGCCTCAGTGTAGGAAAAACTGTACAGAAATTCTTCCGCATTAAAACATGAAATAGGGACGTCACCACTTGACTCTGTACCAAGGCATGAATGCGGAGTAGCGAAAGAGACAAAGGACCGAGAGACACTTCATTGGGTTGAGTCCATTACGTGCAGGTAAAGTACCCGGGCGGTGTGTACCCCGACACCAGCCGCCCGTAACCAATATTTGCCGTATCCCCTGACAGCGGGGACACACGGGGGGTCACGGGAGCGGCGACTCGTCAATGGGAAACGTCCATCACCCTCATTTGAATGTCAGACCTGGGCATGTATGGAGAAAGGTTAGAGTACAGATACACAGGACGTGTGGACAATATGGGCTCACATTATAGATTCATGAGTGTAAAGGGTGTTAGTGTTAGCGTAGCCGTGTGATGTGTAGGGCCTTTCATACGTGTGACGGCATCTGTGAGTTTTGCGGGCAGACGCAGGTGAACGGACCGGACCATGGGAGCGAGGCGTGGAGCTAGCCGGGACTGAATCCACCTGTGTCCGGGTCACACAGAGCGGTGTATCGATGGCCAGGTTTGGTAACGCCAGGCAAGAGGACAAAACCACGGCAGGGAAGAAGGGATCTGAAAAGGTGAAACACAGGTGAGCCGGTACATCTGTCGGGTAACAGGTATTTACACGACACAGGCCAGGAAAAGTTGTACGGTCGGCTGACCCTGCAGGTGATATGTGTAGATCATATGTTTTATGTCATAATAACGATAAGTAGTCATTGTTCCGTCAACTACCACTTAGATCCGGTCATTATGTCCTAAATAGGTCAATAAATGTGAGTAGGCAGTGATCTTTATTGACTCTCTTAATCCACATAGATTTGATTCTCCTTTGTAACGTTGGTCTCAAAAGTTTTGCGTACAGACGTGGACCCTTCGTGCACTCAACTTATATTCATAAGCCTATATTTTCCCCAATGATGTTGATAAAATGGTGTAAAGTACGGCAGCCACCGTTGCAGGTTTGAATATTTCAAACAGTACACACTTGACTTGTGCTACCGTACACAGTCCTGTTAAGTGCAGCACTGTTATGGTAGTCAACCAAGCGCAAAGTCAGACATAAAACTACAGACCCCATTCGTTGCCAAATAGCGTTTCGTAATACCGTATCCAACGACATGAAATACATACATGTATGTTCTCTTCCCTTAAAGATACCTTATGAGCTTAGGGTGTATTTAATAACATGTCTATAGGGCGTGGGGAAAATAAAAGTAGATCACATGATAATCGTTACCCTTTAGATAATTATTAATCATCGCTATTCAATGCCGAGTGCACAAAAAGACGACTGGTTGAAGTCATGTTACAATATAAACGAAGGGTGAAACGTTTTAAACTAATCATCATGAAGGTTTGGTACTATTTAGGGCCATTATTAAAATAGATTTCCCTCAATATAACAAAAGAGGAGACTACCATGCTATAGTCATGACTAAAATATGTCGCAAAGCTAAACAGCAAGTCAAAAGTCAAATCTAAGCCCATTATTTGTCTTAACGTCGTTAAAATGCCGTTAAGAAAACACGTACGGCCTTATAAAACTCCGAGGTTTAACCTCAAAGGGCTCAAGTCACCCCAAGAAAGGTCTACAAGTCCTTAAGACGTCTGTCCTGGCTTCAAGCAGCTTTAGTGAGAACTGGTGGGACAATAAGGGCCAAAGATTTGCCGTCTTTATTTACTCAACCGTGCCATAACCTGGAGTGGCGCCCACGGCAAATAAGGGGGTTGGCAAGACTCTGTTTTGACTACAATTATAACAAAGTTTGCGCTATGGTTCGCACCTGCATAGAGTCGACATGACGAATGTACCATAAACGCAGTTCCGACAGCAACCGGTTCGCCCCCAAAACCGTTTGTCAAATACCTTTCTAATGCGTCTCAATGGTTGTCGGAGAAAAACATATTTATCAAGGCTTAATGGACTAATTAAGCAGTTATTAGGCAGATCGCTGAAAGATCTCTTTGATGAGGTATTGTAGCAGATTTCATGCCGATTTGAGTTCCCAAGTTCCCCGATCCATTCATTCCTCGTTAGCAGATTAGTGACATTGTTCCCACGTACAGTACATGAAAGTTGACACTGAACCCAGGCATATAACGTTCAAAGGTACATGTAGACAGGAGTATTACTGTTGTAGAAGGTACTAGAAAGAATGTGCCACGGTGCACGTATATATCGCCAATACGTTTGTGCTTGTTTGCTCAGTACACTTAAGAATGTGGCTTCCCTGTTTACCCAAGGACGCAGGAAACGATAATGAGCATAATAATTCATTCACAACCTTTCATCATCCCCTAGTTGTGTTGTAATTACTTTCTTGATGTATTTATTTTCAGAGCGTCTCAGCCCTTTGAGAAGATATCGGGATGGGACTTCATCACAGAGTTTGACGACTTGAGTAAGTGTTCTGTACTTTGCCAGGGCGTGACAACAAAGTATAGGTAATCCAAAAATATCATCAAACCGTTAACAAAACTTTGCAACAGTTTTATTACAGCTCTTGATTAAAGAATACGACTGAAAGCTGTACTCTATAACTGACCTAATTCCAGTCTTAACTGTGGTGGTGTGGTGTCGCTATAGTGCCATCGATTCCCTGCCACCTAGGCTGAGGTGTTTTTGTTGACATTACACACACACGCTGTTAGTTTTGCAACAGAAAACCGGAGTCCATCGCGTTAGATACCAGCAAAAGAAAGGCCCACTGAGGACACTTCAGTAGAGTTGTCAGCGTAAGACAAGAGAAAAGGCACAAAAGACGACAAGAACACAAAAGCAGACCGCCGTCGAATGAGAGAAACGCCTACAGGAACTAGCTGACCAAAACAAACTCGTGTAGTAAAATGTTGAGGCAATTTTGCTGTGGCCTTGTTCATGTTCGTTTGGGACAAAGGAAAGCTTAAACGGTTACAGAATAGGGCAAATCACAAACAAACGCCACAATGGAGCCGTGGTCGGGAAAACAACATGGATACTGTCCCGCGAAATGGAACAAAAGACTCGCCAAAGTCGTCACGAAACAAGTATGCCGTTCGTTGTCATGGGCAGGGGCAAAGTCTTGTTCATGGGTCGCCACTTGTACTTGAACAAGCCTTTGTTTGAACCCCGATGTGTTGTTGGATAAATATGTATGCCCTAGACATCAGCAGATACAAGTCTTACTTCAGGATATCCAAAACAAACTGAAATGTACTGTCTAGGACATGCCTGACTGACTTGCCCTTCGTGACCGGTACAAGGTGCATTTGCCTTTCCTCAAGCAAACGCAGACACACACCTTTAAGATACGCTCTGATTCTTGTGTTTGGTTAGACCGCAAGTAGAGTATAACCGTCGACTGGTGTAGAAATATGTACCAGGCGATGTCTTAAAAACAAAAAGGTGTAATTTTACCACTCAATTGGCTTTTCAGAGTTTTATTCAACTTCTACAATATCACCACAGTCCTAATATGTATTGTTCATTCTATGTATGCTACTTTGAGAATCAATGTTTTCAAAATTATCTTTTTATTTAGTCACTGTGTATGAAGTCAAAATATACATTTTTGATACAAATAAAAAAAAAGCACGGTAGCATGTTCTTAATTGTACATACAGGGATGGACCCAGTGATATGTAGTCAATCATGTAACAGGTTATTTACAGTACACTACATCAGCTGACGGGTACAAAGCCGACCATAATCCCCAATCTCAGCGTCCAGTAGGGTCGTGGCTTGTATACACTTCACGAACAATTGGACAGTCTAGTGTAACCTGTCTGATAAACCAGTTCTAATACCGGTTACTGATGACAAATTGCTTCCATTGAAAAGCTTCAATCTCGCTGGTGACATACCTTCACCAACAACAATGCACCAAGAGACTGTCAACTGTATCTGACCCTCCCAGCTGTCTTTTGTAATCCTGTGACTTACTGTCTAATTAGGACACACTGCCAATTAGGTAGTTGTTTGTAGAAATGTTTTTGAGGTCCCAAGACAACACATTCTTCCCGATCCATGTTGTTTGTGAATTTTTGTCGTGAGTGTGTACAGGCTTTACTGGCCTTAGGAACAAAATCATGGCAACCCCCGATAGACCGACGATTTGCGATTTCCGTGTGTTTTAAAGATATACTAGTACTATCACATGATAGACAAGCTATATATATATATAGGGTTATAGACTGTGATACTGTGTATGAATAACTATTTCCTTTTTTTCAGGTTTGGACGTATGGGCGAAACAAACCTCCCAAAACAGACAGAGTAAGTAAAATCTGATATTTTATAGAGCTAGGAACCACTTGTTAAAATGATGTACACGTCAACCACATGTACGTGCATTGGTCATTATATTTCTGCAGTCGTGAAATATGACAATAGCATACTATGTGCTATGGCAAATGTGTATGATGTAGAGATATTGCAATGGTTTAAGTGGATGGGAGAATGGACAATGGTCTGTTCTCAAAGCTATAGAACAAGCTTCCGTCTGAAACACCTGTTAGATACAATCAGGGTACTGTACGGCTCTCCAATACCAGGAATTTTCCCGATAATGCTACCATGGTGACGACTGAAACATTCCACCCTGTGCGATCACAGACGGCATTGTTTTTCAAAATCCTTTCTCCGACCGGAATAACTCTTTCAAGGCTGGTCTCCGAAATATTGAATAACTGTCCGTAACCCGAGACGACTTTAACGTCATTTGGGATTGAGAGGAACTACGGATAGCTGATCGAATTATACGACTGCGATGTTTGTGTATTAAGGTCTTTTCAGAAGCCCCCTCCCCCTCCGGCTTCGGGAGGCGGCTGGAAAGAGTAGAAATCGGCCAAATAGAGAGATAACATGCCGAGGGAGTTGATCTGCTGGAGAGAACAGTTTGCCTTCGGGAGCGACAGACTGTTCTATCTAGGTGACCAACTCCCTCAGTATGTTATCTCTCTATTTGGCCGATTTCTACTCTTTCCAGTCGCCTCCCCAAGCCTGGTAGAGGCTACACTCCGCTAGCCAGAATAAAACTACGAGTCGTACAGGCAACAAAAAATATCATTCTACAGCAAAATTAAACGATATTTTTCTTGGTTTGCTGACTAAGAACCTAACGCACACTGAACTGTACCGTTTTCATCATTACTTGTACTATAAACACCCGTTTGTTTTCCGACAAACAAAACTGTTCATTGTGTTGTTTTGACTTATTTGTAATACCTAAAGGAGAACAGCGCTACAGAGTTTAATTAGCACACTCTTCAGCTATGCATATATGCCAGTTTACTCAACTAGTCCACAGGTCTTATAGTTAAACTCTACGTGTTGTAAAAATACATGAAGGCCACCCAGCCTGGTTTGACTACTTACATCTCAATCTAAAATCACGGAAAAACATAAAAGTGGAACAGTTCTAAGCTTTAAGAGAACCTGCCTTGTTTGTGTACGGTTCAGGTATGGTCATTCTCTATTCAGCATGTTTTCCTTTCAACAAAACATTTCTGTTGTTTGGTAGCAAACAGTCTAATTTGGATCAGACAAACATGTCTCCAACTCTGCCACTCTCTTAAGAGAGTCTACACCATCAAGACCTTCCCTGTTTATATCCGTATGCTCCTTTATGAAGCTACAGTAGTATTACTCAAAGACGTATATGAGTGTAACTCTAGGACCATATCCTGACTTACGTAGTAAACATGGCGGTAACGCGACTCATTCTTTTCGCCACAAGTGACCTTGATCCTATGAAACAGGCTCTGTCACGCTGGTTTGCGAAAGAAATACGCAAAAAACGTCCAGCCATTGTGTCGGTGACAAAGCAGGGGGTAGCACGGCGGGTTAAGGAGTTTTTGATCGGCACTAGAAGACGTCAGTCTGAGTGAGAGAAACCGGTCAGTGAGAACCAATTACGCTAATTGGTGTTGACCCAACCTTCTCGTCCCGTCTACTGATAGGAAGAATACCTCTCATTGGTTAGGACAGCAGGGCTCGTCAATAACTACCAAAACGTACATACGTCGTCGGGAATATACTATTTGTCATCAACGTATATCTCTTTTGTATCAGATACGTTATATAGAATTTAGATAGCAGTATTTGCTATCGCAACTCGTAATTTCGTGCAATCATTTTTTCGCCCACTAACAATGCTTTCTGTCTGTTTTTCAATTTACATACAGGAGATGTGTCAGAGATATACTGATGTGATTCGATTACCAGTGCTCATTAACGAATCTGTGGAAAGCATCCGAGTCTGTATTACCTGAAGTTCTGTTATTCATTCCAACATTCTATGACTAGACATTTATTTCATGCCGCCATCAACGCACAGCACAGCAAAACACAGGACAATTGACGTAGCAAATACAGGACAGGACAATACTCATTTGTGTAAAGTGCCTTTCCAAGATCGGTGACATGACAGGACTCGATCCCGGGACCTCTTGGTTCCGAGTCGAGATCTGTGAGGTTACGCCACCCCACCCCACAAAGTTCTGCTTGAGGCTTGCTAGCGCTAGACTAAGAGTGACATCGCGACACATATTTAGGATACATGGAACTACTAGTAACTTTCTCGTCTTCATCATTGCATTTTTCAGGTAACACCAGACGAAATGAGAAGATCCCTGCGAAGTACCTCTGTACCACTGAGACTAGATGCTCGGGGCTGCAGAGTCCGGCGGAGTTCTGTACAGTAACCATCGCTGACGAACTCAAACAGACCACACAACTCATCAACCATGACGCCGGGCACAGGGACGACTTCACCATCCAGAAACGTGCAATAGAGAAGGAGCTGGTGGCACAAAGAGGCACCAGATCTGACCATCACAATGGGAAAAATCAATCAACAAAATCATCACCAGCGAAGAATGATAGTTCGAATTCTAGACTAACCCATAATGGGTCCACAAAACATGAACATCTAGATGGGCAGAGAGGATCTTTCAATTCTTCTACATTTTCTAAACTGTTGAGCATATCGTCAAGTAGACACCAAGAGAGTGATCATGTATCCAGAGAATCCAACAGCCATCTTGCCGACAGTGTAAACGAGGAGCAAGTAGGTATAAAATCGACCTCTTCGACAGCTTCAAAGATTCAGAATGGGAAGACGTCCACTCAGGAAGGAAAAGCTACAAGGTCGCCTGTGGAAAGTAGAATGGTGCTTCCTTCTGTGAGGTTCACCTACACAAAAACAAAGGACCAAAAACAGAGGCCCGAATCAGGAGTATCTCTGTCGTCGTCCACGACGGAACAAACAGAATTATCGGGCTCGTCCTTCTCAACACTGCGGACTATAGAGTCGTCAGAGGAGTCCAAGTCGTCTAGTACCCGGTCTGCGGCCGTGACAACCACCACGGGGTCCAGTTCGGGGGAAAGCGAGTCTTCCAAACGGTCGACAGGTCCCGAGCTCCCGCCAGTCAACCCCTCCCCTAGCCCTACCCTCATGGCTTTCCCTAGCGACGGCATCGCCAAGTTTTTCACCTCGTGGGCTCGCAGCTTTGCGGAGAGCGTCAACAACGACGACGACCAGAACTTGTCAACGGACATCTTTTCCAGATACAGCCTCAACAAGAGATCATTCCTCAAGGCCAGAACTCACAACAGCGCCCGCGAAAATCCCTCTAATCTTCAACATCTTAATAAAGACTCCCGGACTTCAAGAAGCGCGCCTAGTTTGACTGCTGCTCAAGACGCTGAAGACATGTCTTCAAAGGATGGTGACTCTTCTCTCCTGAGAGATCCCAAGTTTGCGGATGGAGCCGTCAGTCCCAGTAATTACCCAATCAGAGACGTGTTGCCTAACGGGATACCTGTGCAGCGGGGCCTGCCGGGAAGGAAACTGAAGGCCCCGGATGTATCCACTCCGACCAAGATCTCTCTGCAGCAGGGATGGCGGGAAGACGACCTGTCCGGCTGGAGCACGCCGCCCATGTACCAGGGGGATGTCATTATAGTTAAAGACGGGGTGGACCTGGAGAAACTAAGGGATCAGGTGAGTGTATACAGATGATAGAAAATCTACAAAAGATGGGCTTGCCTTTTTAGCAGATTTTATGATGTTTATTTTATACTGCCCATAGATTTCGAGTCCCTGTAGATTTTGAGGCAAATGGACCATTTCACACATGGGCAGCAAATTCGTATTGCAATATTTCTTATACATTTGTACTTTTTATTTTATTTTTATACTTTTATTTTTTTATATTTTTTAGGGTGCAGGACAGTGATACCAACTTTTCTCTTCAAATGCTCAGCACCTAGTGATTGTTTCGTTTCTGTGTTGTAGGTCATTGAAATTTGTAAGATATGTTTTGTTTCCGCAGAATACGAACGGCCCTCCGGCTTTTCGTCCTCAGCATTTGAAAACTCCGCTGCAGAGAGCGCGAGACATCGTGCAAAGGAGGCTGGGTAATCCTGTCACACAGCCAGAGGTACATGTAGGTTACTCCACAGAAAAAAAAATCATTTTTAAGCTTTCGCAATTGTAGTATTTTTCTGAAACAGGTTTGAACTGTAATTTCCAACGCCAAAAATGGACTTACACATAAATTTTTCGACGGTACAACAACAGTCTTTGTCAAGGAATGAGCAACCTGCAGCTTCTGTTGTGTTGTGTTACGTCACGTTTATACAGATAGAATACATGACTTGGTGAGCAGAGGATCATGATTATTAGCAGAAAATTTGTAGCGCCCCCCATCTATGTTGAGTTGGAATACGAAGATTGGGTATCGCACTAACAAGCTAAACTTTGACATTGATATACAAGCGAGTTCATTCCAGGAACGACGAACATATAAATTTCCATACCTCTTTTAAAGACAGGTTTTCAAAGACAAAGTCGTGTTTTGAGAGAAAACCTATCTAACCGATGTGTTTGAAGACTGTAGCTAAAAGTTATAATTCCGTTCTAGATCAGCAGTTCTCCCACTGCGAGTCCTCCCCGCCGGTGGAAAAGCTCCTACTCCAACATGTACGAACCGACCAAACAGCGCAGCGGGGAACTCAGGGCACAGTCCGAGCAGAGCCCGAGGGCACACGCCAAACACACCCTCGGGCAGCATGACGTCACTGACCCAGGGCAGAGGGTGATCTCCAGACCCAGTCGGGACGGGTAAGGCCTTTCTTCAGCCTCTTCATTGATGAAGAAAACGATAACACCGTGGATGATTTTGACCATGCCAAAACATCAGCCATTAAGCAGCTCCCCCAAGCGCCTTATGTTATATTGCACAGTTAGGGACAAATAGAGAATGAATTTTTTTGGAATATGTGGTTTGTAACGTTATGGTGATAACGCTATACTGATGCTGTAACGTTACAAACCACATGTTGAAAAGAACAGAAAAACTTCATTCTCTATTTGTTGTCAGATTCGGCCCATAGTAATTTAATTAATGTTGAGCATAAAATGCCCCAACACCTCAAAACACAGTGAAAAACAAGCTGTTTAATGTCAACAGGATCATTCCGATGCCTTCCTGTCCTATGCAAATGAGGGTTAGCCCCCTGTTTTCGCATTGCATTCTGGGGATGGGAAACTGGTGAATACAAACAGGCAATAACACCACTAGATTAGCTCAACATTGTCTTGTTTTACAAAGTAGGACTGAATTTCTCAGTGTAAGTAATTCATAGAATGAATAAGCAGACTGAATATACACTCGCCCGCTACTCACGGTTTTATGAAATTTTTAAAACTTTATTTTCCTACCGTTCCCAGAGTGCATCGGAAAATCGAGAATCCCCCTCCATTACGGGACAGGCACGAACTGGCGTCACGTGATCCCTGGAACTACGTCATGCAATATATGGGGTAAGACGGGCACGTCGGCAGAACGTACTGCGTCTGCGCAAAACCACGATGTTGGATTCTTTTAAAGTTTTGTGCGTCGACTATTTCAATTGCAGTTGATATATAATATATAATATGTAAGATATATAATTTTGATTTGTACACTAAGTCTTGATTATTTTATACAATACACAGTCATTTATGTCCACCCAAACAACAAAGTATGAATGGTATCATGAAAGTTCATCTGTGTTGGTAGTTATATGTTTAAAACTTTTGATCCAACACAAAGAAATCTCTCACCTAGAGCTTTCGATCAGTCACTCTGGTCTTCCTCAGTAGACTGACCCAGTGAAGCTTGTCACGTGGCTTCTTTGAAGTGCATGTGACGTTAACACTGGGCCCATCAACCTTCATTGAACCGCGACGGGGGCTGACATCGTCTACCAGATACCTTTGATCCAGTGTTGACGTCACACTTCAAAGAAGCCACGTAACAAGCCTCACTGGGTCAGTCTACTAAGGAAGATCAGAGTGACTGGTCGAAAGCTCTAGGTGAGAGAACTTCTTTGTGTTGGATCAAAAGTTTTAACTTTAAAAAAGTATAAATGGGCATTTCAGACGATGAGTTGTTCCCTATCATTTCATTGGAAAATCGCCGTATTAAAGACAACAAAAATTACGCCGGTTTGTATTTAAATTTATTTATGTTCGTTTTACAGGCGTGCCCCAGCGGTCAAGACATCCAACGCTCTCAGACACTGATCTTAAACACATTTAATTTATTTCTCTTCCTCAAACATACATTGACAGGGAAATACACACATATACATGTCTATATACCCTGAATTACGTAGGTTTGTTACAAAACATTGTGCTTACTACATGTGCTGAATATCACATGTGCATGAGACTGACAAAAATGCATTATATAATAACAAACACTAAACAAAGATCCGAGCTCACAGGCTGATGGTTGGACCAGGAAATAGAGTTATTATAGAGCCTAACTGCAGTGTGCAGGAATGACTGTTTCAGTCGTTCAGTTCTGGCCTTGGGAAGAGTGAACGCATTATTGTTCCTCAGTTGTCTGCCAGTGGCGGTGCGTCTTTGAGGAGGCACAGGATCATGCAGTGGATGATCTGGTTTTAACATATTAGAATCGTCTGTAAACTACGACATGTGACCTGTTTCAATATCTGTATGAATAGGCCACAAACCTGTTGTGCAGTACTAGGTTATCATATATAGAACGTTACATAATATGTATGTATAGTAAATGTACATGGTTAAATACAAACACTTTGGGGTATCAGTGCAGATGTGAAGTTAAAATGGGTGCTGCCGTGAGCAGAAACTCTTGCTGGCTAATCTACGGCATTGTTTAGATATTCTAGTGTTAAATGAATATATGAACCTGATTATGATGATTCAATAAATGTCACGAAAGTACACCAAAAACATAACCACGTTATCATACATATATGTGTCTGACATGAAATACATCTAATGTTCAATTGATAACTTTGGCATCTGTATGTATAAGCAGAATGCCGACTTCACATGGATACATTGTCATATGCATTATAATATGAATAATGCGCAGAACACGGTATAATAAACAATACATCCGTTATCATTGTTTCCTCATCATAAGGTAGGTTGTATTGTTTCAGAAGACGGTGTAACTGAAACTACTAGTTAAAACTCCTAAGTTTTGTTCATTCACTGCAAAGCCCATCAAACGGCTTCCCCTGGCGCCCAATGTTATATTGCAGTCACAGGTAATTCACACAGAGTTTTGAAAAAAAAATTATATTGATGACCGAATTAACACAATATTTGAAAAATTCAAAATACAAGATGATGCGACATTGCTGGCTCCAAGCTTTGTCCGATAGAAATCTTAGCGCCGACCCCAAAACTAGCCTGAGGAAAAACACCAACAAACCAATATATCAATGTGTTGATAAGTTAATCCATTAACTAATCAACCAACCAATCAACCAACCAATAAATCAATGATAAGACAATAGCCTAAAATATTCTTTTGCCACAGCGATTATTTCATTATTCACATAGCAAGTACGGTGTACGGCAACATTTTAGTTGGCTGTGGATATGTGATCCCTGTCAGTGTTCACATTGCTTTATCGAGTGGATCATGAAGTTAAAAACGATTAAGTCATGTTCAAGATATTTCCGTAGCTAATCTTGATAATAGAACGGTAGACATGAACGCAAACGTTTAAGCTATACTAGTAGTTATTTAATAGCAGGCTTAGGTTCTTCACTGACGACATGTTCAAGAAATACAGGACGGAGACTTTCTGCCATAGTTGAGACAAGATCGAGTTCTTACCGTCGGTAGTTTGCCGGCCGCGGCGGGTGCAGACCAGCGGTTCTCCTGTCCACTGTCCGCCGGTACAGGTGGTGGAGGTGTCCCCGGACTCCTGCTGATACCCGCGGAGGCAGCTCAGAGTACACGTTTCTCCTTCCTCGTACGGCGAGCGGCAGCGTCTGGGTCCCCAGGTGCCATAACGGCGACCAACCGGGGGAGGGTTACAACCGGGAGCTGAAAAATGTCAAAAAAGAAGAAATTGTATACTAGTAGTATTATACTATAGTAAAATAAATAAACATGTTTCAAGAACGTACAAGAGCCACATGGGCATCCACTCTTCTAGGCATAAGTTTAGGACGTTTTTATCGGGCGGGCTTTCGAAATTATTCTTTGTACTGGTGTCTTTTTTTACACCGGTCATGGTAAACTGTCATGCCAATTTTAACACTTCTCTCAGCTACCAAACGATATGTTTAGAGAGTACTGGGCATCTACATGGCACGGTTATCGAGACGAAGATTCATGTCAATACTGCAGTAGCACGTTTCACATGAGGCCTTGTCACACATTCACGAATTTGGCCTCCCGACGTCCGCCGACCATGGTTAGGAGTGGGTCGGCTGGCGTTCGGTTGTGCCGGCTGGCGTTCGGCTATGTCAGCTGGCGTTCGGCTATGTCAGCTGGCGTTCGGCTATGTCAGCTGGCGTTCGGCTGTGTCAGCTGGCGTTCGGCTGTGTCAGCTGGCGTTCTGTTGGCAGCTGGGTCGGCTACGGTTTGGCTGCGCCAGCCGAATCAAACACACAAACCAACAATCGGGGAGTATTAAAGTTAGCAGTGTTCGGGGCGTGTTCAGAGGTCAGATTCGATTCCAATTCAATTCAAGTCAAATTCGTTTCAATTAGTACAGAAAGATAGGCGTGGCCTAAATCTGGTCAGAGTGCTCTCCAACACCAACCGCGCGGCCTGTTCGGCTGGTTTTCGGGAACGAATTCGCGATCGGGAGAAGTTTGTGAATGTGTGACGGGCTTTACGTACCGGTACGTATGCACTCCAGCGGGATCCCAGACCAGGCACCGTCAACACAGGTGATCGTCGAGTTTCCGGACACCGGAGAATGCCCATCCCTGCACGTATAGGTGCATTCCTTCCCGTTCTCGTACGGCCACCAGCAAACCGGGCTCCAGCTTCCACTGGTGAGAGGTGGCCGCTCGCATCCAGCTGGGAAAGAATGCCACAAATCAATCCGTGTTAGGAACAAGTCAGCTGATTACTTGTACATGTATGTGTTCTTTGAACTATCATTCCTTCGAATTGATTTCTTTCTCCCGCGGGCCCTCTATTTTAAAGATGCATTACGTAACATTAGAACAATATAAAAAGTACATATTCTGTTCATTTTATAACAAAGTAATTGAGCAAGATGGATCAACCCTAGGCCTACTCCTACTCTTACGAGAGTGTTTAATAGCTAGCTGGAAACACAGTTGTCAGTCATGTCTGTTTACATTCTGGTGGTGTCACCACAAACTACATGTAAGTGCGCCTTGTGTGGGCTGTTTTACCTTACTTCCGTACTTACCGCCAAATGTTAATGTCAGGAATGTCAAGTAATATATTGCACAAATATGTTGAAAAGTGGAAGTGAATTACAATCACACGAATGTTTTTTTTTTTTTCAATTAAACTATTTCAATTTTTGGTTAAAAAATGTTACATAATATTCCTTTAGTATATCAGAACCACGCTGCACAATATACTTACTGTACTCGCAGGTGAGCGGTGTTCCGGACCAGGCTCCGTCCCTACAGGTGACAGTGGAGTCTCCGGACACCTCAGAGTGGCCTCTCACACAGAAGTAGGTGCAGTTCTCTCCGTTCGCGAAAGGCCACCAACAGTCCTTGCGCCGAACTCCCGAACTGGGCTCTTCTGGTACCTCGCATCCAGCTAGGAAAGGAATTCAGTCAGTCAAGGTAGCAGAACACAGTTTTCGCCCTATGGGGATTTCTATAGTTAAGGACCCCAAGATGACTCACTTCGACGCGGTAAAAATTATAGCAGGGTGCACTTCACAAATACGAAAATCGAATATGTTTGAGAAGAAGGTACAAACTACAAAATTTCTAGAAACCCAAAAACCCTGTCGGCGTATCTGCTCGTAACGTACACTTTGAAATCGCCCTCTACGGACGTGACCTCAACAGCAGCCGACTCACCCGGAAAGCCAGTTGCGTGATACGGCGCATTTATGCACGAACTGCAAAACCTTCACAATTCAAATCATACAGTCTCAAACCCGATACATTCCTACACCACACAGCGCAATTTACATCTGGCTGACGCTCTTATCAGGCTTTCTACCCAGCCTTCAAGAATATTCGCTGCACTACTTTCTATACCCGCGTCACAGACCCCCGGGGGTCGCCCATTAATACTGTGTGCTGCTACCCCAATCTATGAACATCAAGTCAATTTTGTATTCTCTGTCCTACGTACCCATTCTTCTTTAAAAGTCACATCGTACACATTTAACATGCTGTACTCTGTATGATATTTTACTTCATTTTTAGGAATAGGTGTACTGCTGAACCCAACCTAAAAAATTGGGTGCACAATTTTTTAGGCGCAAAATTTTAAAATAGAATAACTTAAATGTCAGCAATAACTAATCATGTTTCATTTCCAAAGAAAATTACTACATATACTAGTATAACAATGAATTTATTATTTTTCTGACACCTAGATATTAAGAATTGTATACTACTGCATAAGCAAACCTACGAAAATATTTGGGTGCACTGATGCATCCACAGAAAAAAATTGGGTTCACAGCTCCAAATTTGGGTGAATTAAGGTGCACATGCACCCAGTATGTCGAGCCCTTTACTTACTGTACTCGCAGGTGAGCGGTGTTCCGGACCAGGTTCCGTCCTGACAGGTGACAGTGTAGTTTCCGGACACCTCAATGTACCCCTCCCCACAGTAGAAAGTACAGTTCTCCCCGTCCGTGTAGGGCCAATAACATCCCGTCCGCCAGGCACCCGGGCTGTACGGCAGCCGCCCGCACCCGGCTGAGAAAGGAACATCACAATTCAATCCATTACCGCGCGCAACAACACGCTTCTAAATACTAGTACCCACTGATTTCTCCTTGTTACCTCCATGAAAAATGGAGGTATTGTTTTTGGCGCGTCTGTGTGTGTGTATGTATGTATGTATGTGTGTGTGTGTGTGTGTGTTTGTTTCCGCACATTTGTAGTCAGCATAACTTCAGAACGCCTTTATGGATTATGATGATATTTGGTATGCTGGTAGGTCTTAGAGAGCCAAAGGTCAAGGTCAAATATGGGCCTCCTGGTGGCTGACCTTGGTACTGCAGCAGAACTTCCGGGAAAACAGATTTGCGGGGTGGCAGGGAAAACAGATGTGCGGGGTGGCATGGGAAACAGATGTGCGGGGTGGAGGCAGTGCCTGCCCGGTTTGATTAATGAGGTTCTCCCTCTGGAATAGTCTACATGGCCATATTCAGTCCAAAGGTGCTACTGTGTGTTTGAAACCAAAAACCTGTGTTATTTTGTTCTGTACTGTAGTGTACTGTGCAAAAACATTTAGAAAAACTCATATATTTCATGGAGGTATGAGATCTCCGAATTCTTGTATTTTGCATTGTGTCCGACCAATGAGCTTTCCTTCGTCCAACCTTTTCATTGCGTACATGAAAGTCATTGGGAGGGAAACTGATCATTCAACATCTATGTTTTTCTATTACTTTGTGTCACATATGTATTATCATCTGTGTGCTCATTTAGCAAAGTACTGTCTCTGGTAGAACTTACTGTACTCGCAGACCAGCGTTTCTCCGGTCCAGGTGCCGCCGTTGCAGTTTCTGCTGGTGTCGCCAGATGTCCTCCTGTAGCCGTCCCGACACACGAACTCACAGGTCTCCCCCTCCTCGTACGGCCAGCCGCAGCCCGTCTGCATAGCGCCGAACCCAGTCGGAGGGTTGGGACACACCGCTACAGGGCACGGTACAAATAGTGTGTAGTTAGTTCGCCATATGATAGCAAGTCACTGAGCTGTATACATGATTTCTGTGCTACTGAAGATACCGCTACACTTCGAAACATATTGCACTCTCTAATGTTTCTTCTCCTTCTCCTCCTGCCATATCGTTAAATGGATTCAATTTCTTAATTTTTGGGCCAAATAACATGAAATTTGGCATGAAGGTAGAGTGGCCAAATACCCCATGGCGTTTTTTTTTAAATTTTCTTGATACAGGCTTTAGAATATGGTTTTATTTTGGCTTTTTGGCTGTGTTATAATGAATGAATGAAGACCTTTATTGCGCATTTCTGCCACACTTGATGTTTGTGTACGTACAGGTAGATGTTAGTGTACGTACAGGTAACGTTAGATATTTGTGTGCGGTACAGGAAGATGTTTGTTTACTTACAGGTAGATGTGCGCCGAGTCGACCTTCTTGACCACCAGGCCTCAGACTGCCACACCAGAGCGGCTATCAGCACCAGGGTCAGCTGCACCCTCAGACTACAGTATACGTACATACATTTGTACTCGGACATGAATGATGATATATTGTGAACATTGAGGCTATCATTTTACTGTGTGAGCATTCAGTTGGTAAGCAATGCATATTCTGCTACTGTGGCAACTTTCATAAATTAAGACTTATTTCCATAGGCAAGACTGTGTAGAATAATTTTGATTCTGATCTCAAGAAGGACGTCACCAAGTGATTCGAAAAGGTAGTGCAGGAGTGTGACTGCATCCTTTATGTGTAATCCTGTATAAGGCCATGTTGATTTGATTATATGGATGACATCTACGCGCGCATGAATTTTCGGCCGTTTCAAAAAAAAAGTTTTCAACCATAATGTAAATCGTACAAAACAGTTGCAAAATGAGCAAAAATATACCGTAAGTTACAAAAAAACCATACCAATGTCGTAGAATGCCAAAATCAAACGAAAAAAGACGAAACTGTAAAGAAATGAACTTGAAGACTATATTATTCGCCAAACCATATTCTGTCCCATTTGTTCAACCCTCATGACCACGTAGATTTCATAATGAAAACAACTTTTTTTTTTGAAAAACTTTTTTTTATTCGCACGCGCGCATCAATTTTGGGGTTCCCGGAGGATGTCATATATAATCAAATCAACATGGCCTAAAGCACGGCTACCCTTGTGACAACTTAGACTCGTCCGGTAGCCCGAGCGTTGCACAGAAGAGTAGAATAAGGCCACAGCAAGTAAATTTTATGGATGCCATCTTCCGCAGACCCCAAGTCTAATGCGATCGGGCGAAGAAAAAACGAGGCGGGACGAAAAAACAAGGTTCCTACATTTTAAAATTTTGACTCAATCATAATACAAATGTTTTTGATTCTGTGGGAACCACATATTATATACACAGCAAGCATCACATATCACTGCATCAAAGTAAGAAACAAGACATCAGAGCCTTTTCTTGTCTCCTCTCTTCTGCCACCCACCTTCCGGCATGGTAACAGACATCTTTGCCCATTTGGGCATGGTGACCACTGTCAGAAGGCAAAAAAAAATTCTTGTTTTTTCCCCCGAAATCAGGCGAAAATTAATGCGCGCGTGATGTCATCCATAAAAATTACTTACTGTAGCCTAAGTTAAAAATCCAACGAAAAATCATCAATATGTTCTAAAAACGTTTTAAGCCAGCTGGAGGAAGTACCTGAAAAATGGACACCCTGCAAAGACAAATGGATTACAGTACCATGTGCCTGAAGCGTAGTGCTGTAAGAGCAAAAAAAACTTGTTCATCCAGTACCGTGTGTGACACCCAGTACTGTGTCGAGATTAGAATTTGAGGGACCTAATTTCTCACAGAATACTAACACAAGAAAAAGACATCGATGAAGGCGGAAACGTGCCTAAACATGCATCCCCTTCTTTCTGTAGTAAGGTTTTCTAAAGATAAGATGCAGTTTTCCGCCTATAAAAATCAAGACACGACAATGCGCAATGAAAAGGACACTAATGCTACAATAAATGCTACACACAGACAATGTGATGGGACGTCGCTTCTTGTTAATGTTCGAGTTTTCCCTGGATTTCTGTGCGTTTCTTCAGCTTTCTGCACATTACACATCAAATCAAATCAGAAGCTACTACAGTAGTACTGCTGTAATTCGCGTTGCCTGTGCTTCAGTGATTTGTTGAGTCGACATTCATTCTGTACATATGCTGCGTCACACGGCGTACACAACCGAACACTATTAATGTAGCTCCCACATAAGGAAGCCATTTACACCAATAGACTAGGAAAGTGCCTCCTATAGTGACTATGCGGTTCTGAGAGGAGACTACAGAACACAGTAAATACTGCTCACACATTCGTATGAAAACAAGGCTCTGTTGGATGACAAATAATTTCCTTGTGACTTAAATGTACATATGTACAGTTGCATTGTGCCCAATTAAAATTTCTTTCGTATTAAAGGAACTACAAATCAGAACCTTCTATGTTTATGCAGTCACCTAGTAATGGAGAACCGAGCAATTTGCTTGGCCTGATCAGCAAAGACCTAGTGAGACCATTTCTGTACAGGTCATATACTAGTATGCTGCGTCATCCATACTTAAATAGCTAAAATAGGTCAGTATACGTGCACTCCCTATCATAGAGATAGGTTGAAACTTAAATCTTTGGAGTTCTGTTCACTTCGAATCCCCACCACAGTCTCCAAGACAAACACAAACGTAACACAGTCCACGGACGGTAAAGTTTTCGACCTACCGCAGCATGGTGAAGTCTTCTGCAGGAGGTCTGATCTGTTCCTTCCTTTCCGTCCAGTATTGTCTTTACTGGACATACAGTAAAGATACATGTACGTCATATGCAAATGTGCCTATTGTCGGGAAAACAGGAATGTGGTAATTGCTGTCTTCTTCCTTGCATGAAGTGATGCTTCAGCGCCTATAGATGTCCCGCGGGACATGTTTTGGTCAGCAGATCTGTTTGACTTGGTAGACATATCACATTGTTGCCATGGCCACGAAACAAGGGAGGCCACGCACAATAAGTTGTGAGTGGTTCAAACCTTACAGTCCTATGGCCGCGCCTGGGGTTGTATTGAGGTCACCTGAGTGAGCGCCATGGCAGCCGCTCCAGACCCTTGCGATTAAGCCCCAATTGTAAGCTCCTCACAATTCAGCCCTTGGCTGCAAGGAGAGGGCCCACGATATAGTCCACACCTTGGTAGCAGGCCCACCAAATAACAAACAATAACAAATTCTGTGGAACCAAACTGAAAACTGACGTGGTATAGAGCTACGGTGGTGAACGCACACCGTGATTAACAATGGTTCTCTTAGCCATCACTAGAAGTGACTTGAAGTTCGTGACATTACATCGCAATCTTAAGCAAATGATAAAGGGCAATGTTTTCAGACATCTGTTTTGTGCCATGCTGTTCTGTGTCATTCTTTTCACACGTCACATCCAATAAAGAAACGCAGCTGTAAACCTTTGTTGTTGTTACCTAAACCTATTTCTCGCGTGACGTAGTGTTGAAACAATCACAAAGTCTCCGTGAATATGGCAAGCAATGTTCTACACATCCGGATATTACCTGCAATGTTATCTTTCAATCCTAGAGGCAAAATAAACAATGAACAAACAATGGGTTTAACACCTTTTATTGCAGTTTCCTAGTTTGTTCCTTAGACCCTTGGTACATGTTTGTTGGCCAGCAATAAAGCTTATATGTTCAGATTTCTGTTATTATATTCTTACTCTTAACAAAGACTAAAACATATATCTGACTTGACATATAAGTTAATCTAGTGGTGGACATTATTTAAAAACTTCTTCTGTATGTAATAGAGTTAGATGCATTGCTTATATCAATCAGTAGATCTGATTGTATATTTTGTCGTGTGATGTACGTGTGTCCATCCATCCGCTTGTGTAGATATATGTGTGTGTATGAGTGTGTGTGAGTATTCATGTGTGTGTGTGTGTGTGTGTGTGTGTGTGTGTGTGTGTGTGTGTGTGTGTGTGTGTGTGTGTGTGTGTGTGTNTAGTGTACTATATAGTAGTGGTAGGTGTACGTAGTGTGTAGTCGATACTATACTACTGTTGTGTGTGTGTGTGTGTGTGTGTGTAGTGTGTGTGTGTGTAGTGTGTGTGTGTACGTGTGTGTGTGTGTGTGTGTGTGTGTATACATATGTGGGTGTGTACACGTGTGTGTGCATACATCTGTGTGTGTGTGTGTGTGTGTGTGTGTGTGTGTGTGTGTGTGTGTGTGTGTTTGTGTGTGTTTGTGTGCTGTGCACCATGTAATACTCGCCAATGTTAGCAGTAGCCGTAGCTTTAACGTTTAGTATGAAAAAGTAAAATTTATCCATCTATAACTTCCGCCTTACGTTTTATGTTCTACTGAATTCAAACATATGGCATCATATCTTGGATGTGATTGGATGAAACTTGCGGGTGCTTCGAGCGGTGTGATTGGATGAAACATTGGAACACCATTGCGCATGTCCTCAACGGCAGCCCCACCACGACCACCAGCCTCCTGTACACCCTGTAATACAGGATCACGCATTCGTCAAGAACTTTGTTACCTCCATGAAAAATGGAGGTATTGTTTTTGGCGTGTCTGTCTGTATGTATGTATGTATGTGTGTGTGTCTGTGTGTCTGTCTGTCTGTGTTTCCGCAACTTTGTGGTCAGCATAACTTCAGAACGCCTTTATGGATTATGATGATATTTGGTATGTTGGTAAGTCTTGGGAAGACAAACGTCAAGGTCAAATATGGGCCTCCTGGTGGATGACCTTGGTACTGCAGCAGAACTTCCAGTTTTTGTATCTTTTGTCCTGAACATGCTATGGTCTTGATGTTTTGGTGACAGATTGCTTTTCCTGTCGGGAATAAGTGGTGTGAGTTTGGTCCCCCTACCAGCTTGTTCTGGAACTGCAGGGCACTTTCTGGCGAAATGTTTAAAAGCCAATAAGTCCAGATAGGAACAACATATTTTCATAATTTTTGGTGTGTAGGTAGCTGGGAGAGAGATGTACATGATTAAATGCAAATTATGCAAATGAGGACTTAATTTGCATAATTAATGAGGAAATTCTATGATTACAGTGTTTTACATTATACTACTTTCATACATGTAATGTATGTAACCTATGGCAGGCAGAACATCAACAGATACTAATTATGCAAATGATGACCTAATTTGCATAATTTATACAAAAATTCTATGATTTCTTAATGGTGAATAATGGGAATGTCATACTTGGGACATCTGTAAGTTAATCAAAAGTTAACATACATCACGAGGCATATATCATGTTAATGCAGAGGTAATTTGCATAATTAAAGAGGGAATTTACATTTACATATCAAGCCCATATTTCATGGAGGTATGAGATCTCGGAATTCTTGTTATTGATTGTAGTTTATATAGTAATGAAAGAAATTATCTTTATAGACATATTACAAGTACGTTTCCATACTTCCAACACTTGCCTAATATTGAAAAATGTATCTTTCTTGTGCGCTTTGACCATCCTGTATTATACTGTAGTAAACCCATTTCAAATTATATTTTTAACATCACAAAGAAACGAGAAGAAGCCGAACCTCTGTATTAGAGTAGTTTTAGAGCTGTTTGTAATACAAACATGTATATTACCTATTTCATCTGTTCACCTGTACTTAGCCCGATAGGGCATGAATGTACAATAAAGGTCATTATCATTATTATTGATAATTTCATAAGATCATCAGGTTGGTGTGCGCAAGAGACTGCATGCATAGAAAGATAATCTCCATGCAGAGTCTGTGGGGCAAGGGGATTCTATATTGGCCGCTTGTATCCATTAGCCTCCTGTAACCGCTGGCCGCCCAACAATGGGCCAATATTTAGTCCCCTTCTTTATTCGACAACCAGTGGATTTATGAATATTTCCGTCGATTTTGTGGCCGTATCATCACCACATGCCACCTTCTTCAGGGCTGCAGTACGAATCAGAACCAGTCATTGTTGGCCCGAAGAAGGTGACAGATGGTCACCAAAATGTCGGATATGAACTGGTTGTCCAATATGAACACAACCTTCTTATACAGGATAATAACATTATTACACCAGCCATCATCATGAAATATTCCAAACATAGGTACATGTAGGGTGATGTTTTATCGCACTTCTTTTAGCAACGTAGAGTAAAAAGGAATTTTATTTCTGGACCAAAAAAAAAAAACAGAAGATAAACAGATAAAACTACCTTTTCATATTTAAAGCCAAACCATCTTGTCCGTTGGAGAGACTTAGCCTCTACCAGGCTTCCCCTGGCATGTCAGCTCTCTATTTGGCTCATTTTTACTCTTCCTAGCCGCTTCCCGAAGCCTGATAGAGGCTAGGGGAGACTAGCAGGTAGCAGGGAATTCTAATGTAGACACAGCAGCTTGCTCACAATGGCATTACCTTGCAGCACCAAGGACATTAGTGTCTGTGCCATTTTGTTTCGCTTGCAACTCATCACCTCCCACACACCCGGGTATCCTATACACTATGGACTATGCGTAAGGCCATGTTGATTTGATTATATGGATGACATCCTCTGGGAACCCCAAAACTGATGTGAGCGTGCGAATAAAAAAAAGTTTGGCCAAAAAAAAAGTTGCCTTCAGTATGAAATCTACGTGGTTATGAAGGTCGAACAAATGAAAAGTAGTATGGTATGGCGAATACTCTACTCTCCAGATCCATTTCTTTACATGTTCGTCTTTGTTCGACTTTGGCATTCTACGACATTGGTATCGTTTTCCAATATTGTTTTTGCAACTTACGGTACATAATTATTCATTTTGCCACTGTTTTCTACTATTTACAGGGTGGTTGAAAACTTTTTTTTTGAAACGGCCGAAAATTCATGCGCGCGCGGATGTCATCCATATAATCAAATCAACATGGCCTAATCTCCAAGCAGATCTTTCGGTGGTCGCAAATACAGTATCCATCGAATGAACCAATGAATACTGTCTGACAAATGGATACTGCCTGGCCAATTTAATACTGTTTTTGTGGCCACCAAAAGATCTGCTTGGAGATTACCTATGAGAACTCACCGGAGGTTCGCTCACAGACGATCGGGTCGCCGGTCCACTGGCCGCCCGAGCAGGTCCTGGTGGTGTTGCCGGAGGTGTGTTCGAACCCGGAGAAGCAGGTGTAGGTGCAGACCTCTCCCTCCGTGTACGGCCAGGAACAGTCTCTCCGCCAGGCTCCGGACGGGTAGGGGGGCGAGGAGCAGCCCGCTACAACATACATTTGTACAGATTGTTAATTAGCGACCATCCTCTACACATAGAATCTGGCAGGCATAGCCGTACACCGTTACAAGATAGACTATGTAACTTCTGTAACAATTCTTGTATTGAAGATGAATCGCATTTTATACTTGACTGTATACAGTATATATTATATCATATGATAACGAACGTAAATCACTGTTCAGTTCAATTAAGCTCGACAAAAAATGTAAAACATTATCAAAGGAAGACACTTTTAAATATACTATATCATGTTCAAATATAGACGTCATCAATGAAGTATGTAAGTATATTTCAAAATGTTTCAAAAAGAGAGAAGAAGCCATTAAAACTAAGAGATCGATACCACTTTAGATATTTTTTTAGCATTTTATACCTTAGAATTGATGTCAGCCTTTCTTTGTTATTATTGTTGTTGTTGTAATTTCTTTCTATATCTAGTACATTGTACTTTGTACATCCGTGCATTTATCCCCCCGGGGAATGAACATGCAATAAAGTTTCATATAAAGTTAATCTTCAAGCAGATTCTATAGTGCGATGACAAGACAGTATGCAGTGGCCAGAGGAGTGTCCATCGGTACGGGACTAATGGTCCCTCCTCTCTCATGGCCAATGGATACTGTCTTGCCACCGTAGGATCTGCTTGAAGATTACAGACCGTAAGAATAGAACGTTAACCTTGACGTTACAGACCACACCATTGCTTCCCAATGAGACATATCATCTGATGATCAGGTAACTTTATTCATAGCCTGCTACGTAATATGACATGTGCATATTACTACTTTGACTACATTTACTTATTCTCCAGATGTTTAGCAGCTTCCCACAATTCGACCTATTCTCGTGCCAACTGTTGAACGGCTACACTTTCTGTTTTACATACGGGCAATATGTGAGAGATGCAATACATGTACAACAGTCGCCACGGCTATTCGACCCTCTACTATTTTCATACCGACTGAGTCAGCTCAAGTTTCTTTAACCTCCGTAATTGGTCATCTCAAGATTCGCGGATTACAGTCAAGGCAAAGTCTTGTTTTTAGACTCATACCCCTCTGCTACGTTGCTAAAAGTAAGTATGTAACGTTACTGCTCTAGAGGTAGGGAATATTAAAGGTAGCCTCTACCAGGCACCGCGGATCGCTGCAAAAATAGTATACGTAGAAATTGGCCAAAATAAAAGGGAATAGCATACCATGGGTGTTAGCCGGCCAGAGGGTACATTTTGCGACTTCGGGTGTGGCAAAATGTACTCTAGCGGACCAACTCCCCTGGTATGTTATCTCTCTACTTGGTGAATTTCTGCTCTTTCCAGCCGCCTCCCGAAGCCTGGTAGATGCTATATCAAAGGTGCAAACTGTACATACAGGTCCGTCGGCAGACGAGGGCTTCTCCAGACCAGGAGCCACTCTCGCAGGTCCGATTGGTGCTCCCGGAAACCCTCTCGAAATTCTCCTCGCACTCGAAGTTGCAGGTTTCTCCGTTGCTGAACGGCCACCAACAGTCGCTAAAATCAACCCCGGTCCCAGTGCTGGGCCACGAACAGCGGCCGGCTGTGAGATATTCAAAACTGGCGTTAGACTAGCCTGATTAAATCGCTTTTGCCGGCCGCCCAACATCCAGCCGGCCTCCGCGGACTATGTAGGGAGCCCCCCGGAGCTTGGGTTACATAGGCTAGCGTTAGACGATCTCTAAGTGCTGTTCTTTCAGTGTCATGTAGTATTTCATATATTTTGCATAATTGCATGTTCTGTGACAGAGTAAAACGTCCTCTGTGCACAAAATGCATCCAAACTAAGCAAATTTTCGGCTGTGATGACGGTCTTTTTTTTATAAATCATTCTTTTTATTGTTTCCAAAATTCACACAAAAGAAAGCATGGCACAAAGAACAAAATTACTGAAACCACATGCATAACAACAAAACTAAATAAAAACCAGTAAACAATATAGATGACTATAACAAAGTGTTAATAAAGAAAAAAGTGAACCCCAATTACATACAATTTACATAAAATTTCTTCAAGGAGATGAAAGTAAACCAATGTTATGACGGTCTTAATCATAAAGAATGAGCCATTATTCTTGTCACGTGACCTCACAATGAGACTGCGCATGCGTAGTGTGATGCACTATGGGTAATCGTGTCAAAGTTTAGGCACTCCGAGAAGCTACAAGACGTATAAGTATGCCTATCATGGTCTGGCATGTTTTCATTCGTAATTGTGAGCCTCCTTATACTTACAGGGACGTCGACGGTACCGGGTCCCCCAGATCCAGCCGTCCGCTCCCCACACCATCGCCGCCGCCACCAACAACACCAGAGCCAACTTCATACTGGTGGAACACAACAACTCAGTCAGACTAAACATTCATAGTACCGGGCAGATGTATAAAAGTACGTCCGTGAATAATTTCATCGATGTCGCTGCTGTACAAATGTAGTCCCAAATGATATTGAAATGAAATGAAATACCTTTATTGTACGTTCATGCCACGACGGGCTAGGTACAGGTCAAGATATAACAGACACATAACAAACGTATATACAAAATTGGAGACAAAAGATGCACTACTTGACTTAGACATACATACATAATGAACATACAAGGGTACTACTAGTATATTAGGCTAGTACAAAGTGTTCTAGTCACTGAGCTAATATAGAGAGGTCAACTTCTTCTCGCTTTTTTGTACAGTGGAAAATGTGGGAGCAGATCATGTTTGTGATACAGGTTTCTGTCTCAAAAGTACGGGTAGCAACAACGACGATAACAAAAAAATTCTCCGGAATTAAGAAACATAATTTTTCAAATAAGGGAATTCTGAAACTAGAAAAATATTAGTTTGTCAAGAATTCGCATGCAACGGACGTTAGACATCCTCGAAGAAAGTGTTAGGCAATGTGATAAGCAGAAACTAGTCCATGAACGACTTTAAGGATGACAGAAAGTCAGATTGTAGTAATTTTGCACGCAATAGATATGTTTTTGATAAAGCTTGACTTATAATTGGTTGGTGACCTAAAGCGTATGCAAATGAAGATTGGCAAGAGGTGTCGCTGTGCCAAGTCTGACTTGCTGAGCAACTTGCTGAGCAACTTTGTAATAGCCGATTAAACATGACCATATAAGAGCACAGTCTCAAGTGTTCCTTGTGTTGCGTCGCGTTTCACCAATCTCCTCGTAAAACTACAGAAATATTCAATTAAGTGCATCTTTTCAGTCACATCTTTCTTTACACGTAAGCCAAGTAATACACCGCAAGTGTCTTTCTTGGCACATGTTCATGAGTTAAAACCTGCTTGGAACTGTTGAAACGAGTAAATACGTCAAAATTTCAATTCGTCGAGCTAGACACAGCCTAACCGATGAGTGGAAGCCTTCTATGTGAGTTGTGTAAGATTCGTGTTGACAAAGTACGTAACTCGTCTAATGATCTGAGATTAAGTATTGGCACACAAGTGATCATGATATGACACAAACACACTCTACTTCCTTATGACGTATCCAAATATACTCCGAAGTTGTTGACATTTTGTCGTTACAAGAAGCAATAAAATCGATGCATTCAATCATAATGAGACGTCAACAATGCACACTACAAATGTTCTTCTTGAAACATGGCAAAATAAACCTAAAAACAGGAATGACGTTATGTGCCAACTAGTAAACAAATTACCAACGTTTTTCAGTCTATGAAATGTATATAAGGCGACAAATACACTGTACTCACAACAAGAACACTCTTTTATCTTTCAGGATACTTCGAGAAATGGACTTGGAGCGTAATTAAAGAAAAGAAAGGCTGGCGTACCTTTTCACGGTGCCTTACAAGAGAACTGTTTTTCTCAAGCGCTGTCTTCTCCTTGGGCGGAAGTTGTGAAGCAGCGAAGGTGCGCAGTTGATTTTCGTAGGTCTAAATCCTGCTTTGATTGACGGCATATGCAAATTAGGGAACCAAAAATATAAACGTTTGCTCTGTTCGTGAAAAGTATCAAACAAGCACTCAGCCTCTTATAAGAATGAAAAGCGTTTTGCTAAGATCAGATTTGCTAGGAATTGACGACACTCTTGTCATACTGCTATGTCATATGCAATGTCTAAATATGTAAACCACAAAAACAGGCTAAAAGAAATTGATTTTAGAAAGACGACCACGCGTAGTTTGGACCGAGCCCCCCCCCCATGATATGACGTAGATAATTGTAGGTTTGGGTGCGCATGCGGCCTAACTGTGGAACTGACCTATAGAGCTGGTGCAACCACATATGATAACTCTGCCTGCAGCTATTCATGTTAGGCCATGTTGATTTGATTATATGGATGACATCCACGCGCGCATGAATTTTCGGCCGTTTCCAAAAAAAGTTTTCAACCATACTGTAAATCGTACAAAACAGTTGCAAAATGAGCAAAAATATACCATAAGTTACAAAAAAAAATTAACAAAAACTATACCAATGTCGTAGAATGCCAAAATCAAAAGAAAAAAGACGAAATTGTAAAGAAATGAACTTGAAGACTAGATTATTCGCCAAACCATATTCTGTGCCATTTGCTCAACCCTCATGACCACGTAGATTTCATAATGAAAAGAACTTTTTTTTTTCAAAACTTTTTTTTTATTCGCACGCGCGCATCAGTTTTGGGGCTCCCGGAGGATGTCATCCATATAATCAAATCAACATGGCCTTACTCACAGGCTGTCATATCATTTTGGGAGGGGGGAATCTGGACTCAACCTATGGCAGAAAATATCCGAAAAGGCGTTCAAATAGACCTCAATTCAATAACAATGAATTCGAACATACTCTTCGTAATCGTAGGTGACAAAAGAACGCTGACAGGCAACATGGGTTTTCTTGTAAATATTTTGCCGAACTTTGTTTATTTCTTCAATATTTAATAAACTTTATAGACTTAAATAAACTAGTAAGAGAATCACTCCTTATTTTCCCCAAAAAATTAACAACGAAAATGGCCTTCTTCCAAACACGGTTTATCTAAAATAAGTAAGTTAAGGTTTAGGTTAAGTTAAACTTCGGTCCACCAAATCCATAAAACTGTAAAAGTACCTTACTACCTTTTAAGGTGCACTAAAGAATATTAGTACTGTTGTTTACTTTCTACGCGTTCACACAATAACCTGTGTAAATGCACGATATGATGAGGAAAAGATGGCATACTATTTTTCTAAAAAAATGTTCCCACGATATAGTCCACACCTGCAGGAAATCATGGTCCATAAATATCTTCTCAGAAGATAGTTACATTTTCCAAAGAATTGCTGGTGGGTTTTCAGGTCAGTAGACTAATTTTCTCCTCAAACCGTTTCCTTGTGACGCAATTTATGCTAAATGCAAACTACAAATGTTTTTGTTTCTCAAAGCGTCTTAAAGTAAACGTTAAAACATGCGTATGTATGCCAACTAAACAAAGGACAAATTCAACTTGTATCTCCTCAAAATATATGGGTACATTATCGAATGTAACCAGTACGAATTATCGGTGTGTTCTTTTTTTCAGGTCAATTGACAAATTTTCTCCCGAAATCGTTTCCTTGTGTGACGTAATCTGTGATCGTAGGCACGTTATCATTCAATACTGGACACGCCCAGAAAGCAGTGTGACAGGTCAGGTACCGACGGCATGTTAAAATGTCAAGGTCTTGAAAGTCTTCTTTCTTGATGATTTTCGAAGGAATGTTTCTCAGTTACAGTTAGTTTGTAGATATACATATATATATTAACCTTTTCTGGATAAAAGAGTGGTTTATTTCCGCTAAAAACCTGACATTACCGCAGAACAGGGCATAGAAAACTAATTCGCTCAGGCACAATTTGGGGTAACTTACTAGTACTAGTATTCAAATCAGGTAACAGGCACATTTTGGTGACTAACTTGTATTCAAATCAGGACCTCATTGGCATAATATATGAGGAATTTGGAACATCGTGTTCTTAATTTAAGAGAAATAATATCCTTTCATTACAGTAGATATGCCCACTTGTTTTAGTATTTTTCAAACATTTCCGTGCGACGTTAAATACTGTACTTTGAGATGAAACGTTTAAACCATCATGATACCGCACCCTTTCTACATTTACAACACATTGTGGCAAACTTTATCAAGACGTAATAACAAAATTCAAAGTAAACTAGAGTTCCGCGATCTCATACCTTCGCCAAATGATGTTACCCTTTGGACTTGACGAATGTTGACGATTCGCATTAATTATGCAAATTAGGCATTCATTTGCATAAACACTATCTGCCAATGTTCTTCTACTTCACAGTTACACATGCCACACGTTTGAATAATCATATAATGGAAGGTAGCAGATTTTTAGCATCTTCCTCATTAATTATGCTAATTAGCTGCTGATTTGCATAACTATAATTTTAATATGTCAATCATCTTTTAAGGTACCCACATACCAAAAATCATGATGCTCCGTCAATCGGTTCTTGAGTTATCCTTCTTCGAATATTTTTCAACGAATGCTTCTGCAGTTCCAGAACAAGCCGCTAGGGGGTCCAAACTCATGTCATTCCTTCCCCAGTCAAAGAGCTACCTACCATCCAAATTTAGTGACCCTAGCATGTCCAGATCACGAGATATGAAAACCGGAAGTTCAGCTGCAGTACCATAACAAGCCGCCAGGAGGTCCAAAATCTAATCAGTTCCAGGTCTCATCAAGACCTACCCACCTACCAAATATCAAGACAATCCATCTTAGGTTTCTTGAGTTATCGTGCTCACACACACACACACACACACACACACACACACAGACACACGAACGCCCCTGAAAACATAACCTTCTTGGCGAAGGTAACTACAGGCACAGATAAACACTTTTCTCGGAGACATCTTTCTCGTTTGTATGATGTTCTATCGCTTAGAAGTGTGGCGCCTAGGCAAGGCGGTACGTTCTAATCTATGCCTGCGTGTATCTTGTAATTCATTAGCATGATATCCATTTTTAATGAATGAAAGACCTTTATTGTACGTTTGTAGTCTAACAAGCTTAGTACAGGTCGTGGATAAACAGAGAAAGAATACAGCAATGATACTTACAAACTATACATACTAATGTGATCTACTATTTACAGGTTCAGCTTCTTCTCGCTTCTTGACGCAGTTAAATATGTACCAACATATTGAGCTAATGATACATGGTTTGTCAAGTTTCATGAGGAATTTAATAGCACGGCTTGACCATTTTTTTGTAGTCGTTTTCAAGAATTCAGATGCTCCAGGAGCTTTATATCGCGTTCTTTTGTTATCACTGTTGATAGCTTTCATGGACTCAAGAGACGTCCTAAATACAGAGCGTTATCAAGTCCTCTGAGGTTCGCAAAATGCTATCTATACATACGTCGATAACGTTTTGACATCCAGGTAGAGTGCTACGTTTTGGCTTGGCTTGGCTTGGCTTCGGAATGTTACGTAATACAACATAAATCAAGCAACTGGATAAACTCTCTCAGAAGTTTCAGGACATCCACTATCTTCCACCAGTGACAGAGAATGAAGATAGCGGATGATAGTGGAAGCACATGTGGAAGATAGTGGATGTTATATGAAATACCTGATTCCTCTGAAAATTTACCCAGTTGCTCGATTTATTTTGTGTTAGCCTATCTATATCTTAAAACCTTTGGCCCAACACAAAAAAATTCTCTCACCTAGAGCTTACGACCAGTCGCTCTGGTCTTCCTCAGTAGACTGACCCAGTCAAGCTTGTCACGTGGCTTCTTTGAAGTGTGACGTCAACACTGGGTCAAAGGTATCTTGTAGACGATGTCGGCCCCCGTCGCAGTTCAATGTAGGGTCAGTCTACTGAGGAAGACCAGAGTGACTGATCGAAAGCTCTAGGTGAGAGATTTTTTTTGTGTTGGACCAAAAGTTTTAACTTAAAACATGTAACTACCAACACAGATGAACTTTTATGATACTATCTTGTTAGCCAATCTGGGAAGACGGTCGTATGTGCACCGTACGAGATCGTTTGAAGGTCACAGAGTTCATTCTAAGTTCAAAGTCCCATAGGTCATTTCTTACTTCTCCATATTAGTCCTGTCCACGCGATTAACAGACGTTATCGGTACTTCAAAAGGCCGCATGCAGGCAGGCGTGAGAACTCAGGGTAAAATCTTATCATTGACGTTTTCGTTCCTCTGTTTTATCTACAGAGTTTACGTTCTTCTCTGAAAGTTGATTGATAGTAAGGTCTCAAATACCAACGCTTTGCAGCCGTTATGGACACGTGAAAGGACGGTGCTGTACTCTTGGCGACAGCTCGACAAGCTTGCAAAGTAAGTTACGATTCCACTCAATGTTATTTTCAAGAGAACTGTCGACTAGAAGATCTGGCAGATTTCTCCTGCAGTTCTTTCGCATGCCGTATGGAGCGCTTCCTAACCAACTCAGACAAGCGTCCGAGCTCGAGAAGGTCGTAAAGTTCATATTCATTCCCCAAGATCGCCATGTAGGTCCTCTTCTAAGCAGAAAGACATACAGCAGCGTTTTACGATGTGAAGGCGATAAAATCATAATTGTGTCAAGGTCGTTCCCACACAGTTCTCGCAAAACCCCAGGAAGAACCTTTCCCCCCGTGGCTTATACTAGTATCATGAGTCAGAAATATCATCCCAACACCAGTCTAGTGTTTTTGGCTCCACTAAAATGTTACTGCGTAGTTGCCCTTGACTTTTTAACCACCTGCCAAACGCCGACGCCAGAGGGTTGGCATCAAGCCAGGGGGACAGCGGAGAAGAAGTTTCATTCTAGAGGTCATTGCCGGCTTTTCGTAATCTCCAAGCAGATCCCTTTCGGTGGCAAAAAAGACAGTATCAAATTGGTCAGGCAGTATCCATTAGCCAGAGAAGCTCCGCGGCCACCGACGGGGGGATCAGGACAACAAAAAAACGGCCGTATATAAAAAGGTAACGATTATTCCCCCACAACCTCTGCTTGGAGAGTAGGCTTTTCGGAGAACATCACGTGGCTTCGCTTCAAGGTCTTTAGTACCACATTGGGAAATGTTGTACCTACGCGGGGGTGGTCAAGTGGGTAGGATGACTTGACATGCACCTCAATAACTGTTGTCTGTAGGTTTCTTTTTTTTGCACGCCCCGAAAAAAGTGTTTTGAAATAAAGATGCCTGATAACTTCGGGCGAGGATCCAGAGATTAGGCCATGTTGATTTGATTCTATATGGATGACATCCGCGCGCGCATGAATTTTCGGCCGTTTCCAAAAAAAAAAAGAAGTTTTCAACCATACTGTAAATCGTGCAAAACAGTTGCTAAATGAGCAAAAATATACCATAAGTTGCAAGGAAAACATTTAGAAACGATACCAATGTCGTAGAATGCCAAAATCAAAGGAAAAAGACAAAAATGTAAAGAAATGAATTCGAAGAGTAGATTATTCGCCATAATATATTCTGTGCCATTTGTTCAACCTTCATGACCACGTAGATTTCATAGTGAAAGCAATTTTTTTTTTTTTTTTTTGCAAAACTTTTTTTTTATTCGCACGCGCGCATCAGTTTTGGGGTTCCCAGAGGATGTCATCCATATAATCAAATCAACATGGCCTTATTCTTAAAAACTGAAAGCAGCAAATTAGATGAAAATGGATTTTTATTGAAGTTTCAAATGCCAGTCACTTTGTGAAGTTATCGATCTTATTGTTAAACCTCCTTCATCCTTGAAGAAGTTTCTATCATGTAACATAGTTTATTGATTAATCCGTTAGCATTTTTATACATCTGTTTCACCTGTCCACTGATTTATCATAGTATTCCATTTCAATATGTTAATCTGTGCTTTGCTTGTTGTATGTATTTTGTATTGTCTGGTGGCGACATGAATATAAGTGTAACTTGAGTGTGTCGCCACCATGTCTTGTCATTATATGTTTCAATAAAAAAAAAGTTTCTATCACTTCTACTCGCGATGTTATGATTCTGATGATGCAGACGTTACCTGTACAAGCAGCAACTAAGAGTAGGTTTAGGCAGGAGTTGTTAGAGCACATGCGTACATAGGCACATGTTGATAGGCACATGTGACGTTACTTTTAAATGTTAAGTTAAATGTTGTATGTAAATACTGTTGCAATGTTGTAATTTTGATGTAGTGTATTTGTACTATTGTATTTTAACTCCAGGAAGATACATACTTGATTTTGTACCAATGTCTTGTGTGTCGCTAATGGAGTTTAATAAAGCACATAAAGCACATAAAGCACCTGTGGTCTCACCTGGCAGTTCCACATGACTGGCAGCTCAAACAGTTCCCTGTCCGAACTGTTGACAGCCTGCAGCCGACTCAGCGCGTGTGCCTGTATTGAGAAGCGGCGGTGCGAGAACACTAATCGATCTTTATCCGCGAAGTGTTGACAAGACGGCTAAGGTAAAACCAACTGTCAATCACGCAAAATAATGGGCCTCTTTTAGGTAGAAATTAATTGTGAATGCAGGCGTTTTGTATTCTTTTATCTTATATGTTCATTCTGGGAAAATTAAACGTCTAACCAAAACCATTTTTCTTAGTAAAGTGTTTTTCTTATTTATCAATTTTCTCACAATCGATACAGACATGACACAGAAAACGGTAAGCACTCACCACATTGTATGATGATAACACATTTGTTTCATTACCATGAAATTTTATCTATGTTAGTAAAAAAGATTACGTTTTTTTAAAAAGTCAGAACAAGAGAGTTGACCATAGAAAAAGAATTCTGCTGGAGAATTCGCTGACTTTACTCTTTGTTTGAATACACTTAACTTTCCATAAGATTTGTTAGTAGTGAAAGTGATTTTTCCATGTTTTGTTTGGTGTACCCAGTAGTGAAAGTGTTCCCCATGACGGATCAGATGTCAAGGCCACTCAGTGGCGGAGGGGAGAGTCCATTGTTACGGGGGTGCGACCCCTCGCTCCTCCCTTCTCACAGATTGTTACGGTGCGGGGCTGACATTTGGCCGTGCGCAGCGGGCTTGTCGGACCTCCTGTCAGCCCATCAACCAGCCCTTTTACAAATCAAGGAGCGAAACGGATTCGGTAAACAGCAGCGGGCCAGCTGGCTGGGACTGTATACACTGCCGGGCTCGGCTCGGGTGACAGAATATCGTTTCCGCTGGTACAGAATGCGATGCAGGGTTGTTGATTGACTGGGGTGAAGTCTTGTAGCAATTTCTACCTATTTTAGAAAATAGTAATGCTGAATTGCAACGCCTTTGGCCCAACCAGCTTTTGTGTAGCATATTCATATTGGTGATGGTAATCTCAAAAGGAAACAAGAAATTGACATACCGAATTTCAACTTTCAGTCTTCTTCAGGATGGGCTGACCCGCGGTCCCTAAGGTCACGTGACCATACGGGCACGCCACGTGATCAAAGGTGTCATCACACAAGAAAGCTCAGATTTGAGAAGACTATAACAGCTTCACAGGTGACAAAGTTTCCACATTCAACAGGTGGGCACGCTCAAACCGGCTTTGAAAAAAAACACTGTTTCACCAAATTTGTTCCTTGTCAACATTACAGAAAAGTGTATTGTTTTTAACTGATTACGCTGACATTCTATCACATTCCTTGGACTAGTAGTAGATAGTTCATGCCACCAGAACCAATTATTACTCGGGTTCTTTTATCAATAAAAAGATATAAGGCCGTTGTTTGTCTCGCCTATGACTACATGTACCATTAGTTCTTGACTCTGAAGGAGAAGGTTAGATCTTATAGCAGGTGCGTCAGAGAGGAAGGTCGGGACACTGTATGGTAAATAAGAATGAGAAGAAGCATTAGGTTTTCTGAGGTCATGTGCACGTGTGTTTACTTGCGTTTGCCTTATAGAACCTACGCAGAGCGTGTTACATGTCAATATTACACGTGATGCTAGATATGCGACCACACTCTATATAACATAAACCTCAAGCTTAGACAGTCAGTGTAGCCAATGAGGTTATCTCTTTTTTTAACCTCCTTGGTGTAGCTTCATCTTCACCCTACGCGATATAAGGATACAAAACTCAAGGCTTTGATTTCGGTTGACTTGTATCTCTATCAACCAATGAACGTTTCTAGCTATTTTCCACTGAGATATTTTAGAGAGAGAGAGAGAGAGAGAGAGAGAGAGAGAGAGTCAGATCGTGAGACAGAGCGACAGAGAGAGAGAGAGAGAGAGTCAGAGAGAGAGGGAGGGAGAGAGAGAATGAGAAAGAGACCGTCACGCTGCAAGAACCGGAATCACACAACGGAGGATACGGTGGATGGGACGAACAGACGTTTGTCAAGCAGCTGATCTACAACTTGAAACCGGTGGCGCATTTCCTTTTCTTGAACAAAGGTTGTACGTCAAGCCTCTGTTGCAGTCATGCCAACTTATGACACGTTTTGCCAGAAAGTTGGACAAGCGTTGGCCGGGAGTTGTCCAATCTTTCCACATGAAGCCCATCATCATGGAGCACCCGTGACCTAGCCCAGCTGGTAACATTCTACCCAGCTGACTCTGAACACAGACAGAGTGATGAGCGATACAGAACAGGGCTCCGCATGGGGGTTTTCTAAATCGGGCGTCAAGCGGCCCACCGACTAGATTCACATCACCTTCTACTTGCCCATAGCATTTACACCAGGCTGAGCGCACTCAACATTACCCTACCGGTGTACTGAGAACCCCCTGGAGTAGCCTCCTCCTCCATAGGTAAACCTGTATCAGAAGTTGATGACGGGAAGCGGGACAAGTTGGCGACGACTGCGCCCCTCTACCGTACAATAGACTATTTTTGACCGTGCACCATCGTAAGTGACGGTGCTAAAAATACCCACTACAATATACTGTCCAGACGACGTGCTAGCGGTCCGTATAACGACGGACTAAAGTGGGATAATAGGGGATCGTCTGGAGTGACGGGAGTTGAGCAGTGGTCAGTGCTGTCGGCAGGGGTCTACCCCAGCCGCCCGCCGCAGCAACAAGCACCCCTGTCCAACATAGAGCTGTCATCGCCACGCACGCGTCACCTGAGACTGAGCTTTGGAATGCGCGCTAGCCTTCTATCCGCCCGACACGCACCATCGTCACTGCCTGTCAAATTAATCAAGTGGGCCCCGGTATTTAATCAGCAAAACTCGCACTTATAAGAACTTGGAAGCCTCGTCAAGATCGCAGAGGTATTGTGCCAAAGGCTGCTACTACGGCGCACATACACCGCGCATTGGACTGGGAGTTGGTGTTCTGCCTAGGCGGTTTCCAATATTGTTCCAGCGATGTCCTCCGTGTTGCTGGTCGTGTGTAAGGCTACACTTCTCGCGCTGTTTTGCCCATGGTTTGCTGCACACATCCTAGCGTCTGCTGCTACAGTCTTACCGATAAACGACGTGGTGAAGAGCGGCGGGGGTGCCGTCGACAAGCCGGTGGCCGTGGGCGGCGCGGGGTCGGACGGCTCGGCGGAAGAGTTGAGCTGCCCGAGCTGCAGAATGCAGGCGGACTACCTGAAATCCGCCGACCCGGACGAAGTCAAACGGCTTCGGCTTGAAGTCATCAAGCAGCAGATTCTGAGCAAATTGCGGATGTCTGACCGTCCCAACATCACCGTGCCCCGCACGGCCATCCCCAGGCCACTAGCAGACGAAAACCCGCCAGAAGTCTCCCTACAGCCCCAGGTAGAAGCTAACCTGGACATCGACGACTTCTACGGGCGGACGACACAGATCATCATATTTCCCGAAGCAGGTGGGGCCTTACTGAGTGATCTCTTATTTGTTTCAGATAACAGGTATTTGTTTTAGATACCCGAGCCCTCCTGCGGTTTGGGAATACTTAAACTCAACTCCCAGCATAGTTTACATACATACATGTGTGTGTGTATCGGTCGGTTTTTTTCAAGCGTTTTATATATCATACTCGTATATTATTTCTTTTGCTCGTTCTAGCCCTTGCTTCTGCACGTAAGCCCCCTTTACACTCTAACTCAACAAGTGATTAAACGATCTGTCGGGTTTCCGTCTGGGCCTGAGATTTACCGAGGTGAAGTCGTGATTAATGAAGAGAGGACGGTTTACAGGCGGGGCGCGCGCATGGCAGGGCACTTCTCTTTCCGCAGGAATTCTGCCGTCCATTTGTCTTGTGAGCCCGGGCTGACACGGCCTGTCGTCTGCGCACGTCTTGGCCTACTGCCCCCAAATCGTCGCAGCGTACAGCAGACTGCACGCGGGCTCGAACAGGTTTCCAACAGGGGAACTGGGCGTGAGGACTCCGCTATCAAATCCTGTGGTTCAAGTGCGTTGTACACATGCGGGGTTGCGCAAGAGATGCTTTAGATGCTCAGTTTTTTTGCCTAAACTTAGGACACAATTTTTGTACTTAAAAAGTGAGGGCGTGGCGTATAATCCCGTAAAGCTTTAGTGCTGCCACCTATCTAAAACCAGCCTAAACATCTGTCGAGTTAGAAGAAAAGGGGGTTAAACAAACCATTCGTTAGACCGCCTCGCCCGATGAGGCATGCCGTGTGTGTGCGGGTTAGGGGTGGGGACAGAAGGGCCTGAAACCCTGAGGAGACCCCCTTCTCCTTTACAGCGCCCTCTCGATACGTATGTGTAGTTTCCTTTTGTCGACAGCTGAACTCAAAATGTAGATATATTTTCCCCTTTAACTTAGTCTACAAGGCTGGTCCAGGTTACACTAACCCCGTACGTAACATCTCTGTCAGCCGGTCCGTTTGCTCACCGGGTTTAGACAGGAGGGGGCAAACCTCATTCTTTTCGTTGCTCAACAGTTGGTCTGGAGCTTTTTTATCGCTCTTGGTGATCACATGACTTACATTGACCGTTTCAAGGACAGGCCTGTTGTTAAAAAAAAGCCTCGGTGTCCGAAATCGGCCTACAGGGCGGGTAGATTGACAAATTTCCTGCCACGGCTGATCTTTGTTCAGACTGAGTCTTTTAGTTAAGAGTCTCATGCGGAGCAATTGAACCATGTCGACTTGGTCTGACCCCAACAAATTATATGTCAGCAGTTTTAAACAGTAGGGTCAAGGATAGCGTGTAAGGCCGGGCTACTAAATTAGAGAACTTGTGCATTTTCAGCTTCTTTTTAACGAGTTTGGGTGGTCGTAAAGCCGAAGCGAAGGCGTGGTAATTTGGTCATAGTGTGCTTTATCTACAGGGGGTGAAAAAAAACTGCACAAGCTATGGACCCACAAGGAAGGGTTGGGACATGTATGTGGAAATGTCTTCAATGTTCTGTACTATATTTCTAGTTGGAAAATTTCGGCATATTCTCGTGACGCATATTTTGTCAACTTTCTATATCATTTTTCTTTCGAAACATATACGACAGTCGTACGATCGCAAACCCGGGGCATTCCTGGGGTAGTCGTGTATGTGTAGTACAAAATTATTCAGCTGTCTTGTTGCGAAAAAAATGCTATGTGGGATCATGGTTCGTGAAGAAGGAAGGGGTATTGGTGTATGTCAGTAGCCTGTTCCCAGGGCCTAGACATGACAGCTCCTGGCTCTTGAGCCAACATGCCCCCAAGGACACCCCCCTCCCCCTTCACTAACCCTATTGGCCTGCTGTAGCCCTAGGGACAGGCTTGCTTCCAGGCTAGTGTGTTACTGCCGGGCAGTTGGCTGTCTCCAATCCCTCATCCCCCTCCCCCAGTACCAGTAGTTCTCACCCACAATGGTTCACACTGATAGCTGCATCAGAACCACCTTGCATGCTTCCTCATGACGTCAGAGCTGTCGTCAGGACTAAATCACCCTGTCGGGCACTCGAGGAGCCAGTCTACACGCACAGGGAAACTCCGCTATACAATACCAGTTTACCGATTTAATTTTATGGATGACATCCTCTGAAGACTCCCAAACTAGTGCGCGCGGGCGAATAAAAAAAAATCCGGCCAAAAATAAAAAATGCTACTAAACCACAGAAATACAAATCTGGTATTGTGAATTCGCGACAGTACTTGGCGACGTATACGACATGCGGCACATGCAGGCTTTTTGCGGCATTTATGAATCGGTACTTTATGAGTCAGTAGAGCTTCGAATTCGATAGCCTGGGTTCTCGGCTCCGTATTGTCGCTGACTACCATGGACTACCCTGGCCTAGAGCCATGCCAGAGCCCCGGAGGACGTGATCTTTTTTTTTTTTTTTGAGGACGACAGGCGAAAATCAATGCGCGCGCGGATGTCATCCATATAATTAAGTCGGTGTGGCCTAACCAGTATCATAAAACACTCGGTAGCAGTCTTTACTGGTTCTTTCTTAGCTAGCATTGTTCAGGCAAGGTTTTAAAAAGGAACGAATCTTTGGTTTTATGTCGTCTCGCTTGCAATTGCTTCGCGAAAGTTTAATTCCTCAGATTCAACCGCCGAGCTTTACAAAACACGAGGGGCAGAATTGAGACAATTTTGGAACGGTAAACATGTGAGAACAATTAGCTGATAACAATATACTATGTCTGCTGTCCAGGCGTCAGAAATGTTAGGTTTGGTGTCCTACACTCGGACCCCCTCTTCTGTATCAATCATTATAGAGTCATTCGCTGCAGTGACACCAGATAACACCAAGTCGTGTACTGCGGTAGATACGTAGTCTTTAATGAGTTAAAGCTGGCATGAGCACGCCGCAGAAATGTTATCCAGGGTCAAGTGCGACTGTGCCGACTGATGACGTAAATCTGTGCCCTTTACCGTCACCGTTGCAGCTGGTTCTTGTTTATGAGTTGAACCTTACTTTCTGTGCCTCTGCCAGGTTCTCTAACCAGCCTCGGCGTTTGTGTTGTCACAGGTGAGAGAAACTGCCACCGGAAGCGCGCCAAACACTGCTTCACGTTCGTGCTCCCTGCGGGGGCGCAGCACGGCACCGTGTCGTCCGCACAGCTCTGGTTCCACCCGCTGGTCTCCAACCCGCCGCCTTCTAACGTCACTCTGCACTTCTGGCCGCTCTTCAAGTCGCCCCAGGAGGACCAGCGGTCCCGGAGAATGGTGCTGTTCTCCCCGGCCCAGAGGGCATCGCGCCAGGGCTGGGCGGATGTGGACGTGCGTCACCACTTTCGGAAATGGATGAGCGACGCCACGTTTTACGGGATTGACGTCGAGCTGGTGTGTAAGCACTGCCCGAAGCGCGTCAACGACCTGATCCGGACCACGGGAGACCACCGCCCGTTCCTCGTGCTGGACACGGGCGAGCCACCCGTGCGGAACCGCCGGAGCGTCGACTGCCCCGACGGCAGGAGCAACGAGTGTTGTCGGGAGAAGTTCTACGTCGACTTCAAGGACATCGCCTGGGACGACTGGATCATCTCACCCAAGGGTTACTACGCAAACTTCTGTACGGGGTCGTGTCAGGGCAACATCCTGCCGCGGTACCACCACACCTCCGTCCTACAGCGGGTAGCCCTCAATCAGAAGGACAGAGACACTAGACTAAAACTCACGCCCTGCTGCACACCCACCAAGATGTCCGCCCTCTCCATGTTGTACTTCGACAACGACGGCTACATCTTCAACAAAAACCTGCCCAACATGAAAGTAGACGCGTGCGGCTGTTCGTGAAAGAACAGACTGAACTTTCCAGACTTATCATGTATGCAATATCGTTACAATTGTGAGACTGTGGCTGGTACCTTGAGGAAAGACCTAGAGACTGTTGCCAGCGACTAATTTTGAACGGTTCCAAGTTGTATATATTGAAAGACGTGGGAAACAACAATTTTGAATATCAACAACTCTGTGAAGAAGGAATGGAAAGATCTTAAAACTACTCTAGCGTAGCATATATAAGGACCACCCATTAGATATCAACATCACCAATGTAGGATGTATAACAAAATCATATGTTAGAAGTAGACATCAGCTGTGTTTAAGTTTGTTTCGTGTTGGGCGGACCTTTGTTCCGCTACAAAGGCCCGAGGACGGGAGAACAATTGCGAAGCAAAGACACAAAAAGTACATCAAACTAAAAACAAGGGCTTATCCGATTAGTGAATGACAAGAATGCCAGGTGCATGAGATAGCAATGAGGATAGGATGTTTAGCATGGTCTTGTCTTCCACTAAAACAGCATTTGATACGTTTCAACGAAACAATGCAAAATGTCAGAGCTGAAAGACGAGTCTGGTATATATCCCAGACGTTTCGGATATGTGACGCCCGTGTGAGAAGTTAGGTCTTAATTTAGGTCACTTTGAACACAGACAATGATCCTTGGAAAGGAACTACGTCCATGTCTAGTCTGGTGCTCTCCAAAAAGGCAAGAGCCCACACGTTGAAAGTAGAAGAGTGAGAGAGAAGTCATTATCAAAATACATAGCAGAACATTTCTCACATCATGCACGCTTCTGTAATCCATCAACATGGCGGAAGCTAAATTACGTCATAGTCACGTGACCACAAATACTCTATCATGATATGGCCAATGAAATCTATTAAGCTTTCTTAAATATCTATGGTTTAGCACAAGCGTCAATTCATTGAAGCTCTTGGTATGGTACCGAATTGGCCTGAAAAAAAGAAGGAAAAAAAAACAGAAAAGCACTGTGGACTTACTCGATGTAAGAAACGAAGAGATTTTTTTTTCTTTGACCCAAAGGGGCGACGAAAGGAAATGAAGAAATTCCAATCGTCTTTCCAGCAGCCGATTTCCGTGAAAGTAATTATGGCGGGGAGTCAAGAATGCGGATGGGTCACGTTCGGAAAGGACCCTATCGTTACCTTACAAGCTCTTTGGCACCGCTACTTGCAATGGTCTCCAGATTGAGACCACGACTCGGTATGTACTAGCCAGGTCTCTCTATTTGCTTGGCCACGTGGGTTGGCGCTTTGCCCATGTCGTGGTGCATCGTCAGGGCAAGCGTTTTAAACATAGCGTCAGAAACCTGCTATGGTCGGAGATTATCCGGGGATCTATTTACCAAGGCCACCTACCCCCTTCATCTCTCAACATAATGATGAAGAGGAAGGCGTGTGTTTTAAGAGTTATTTTAAGCATTGTTTTGTATACACATAACAAGTCAAACGTTGTTCGCCAGTATATGATTAATATTTCCACAACCTTCAATCGCCGCTCATGTGACACAATATTATTGCATTGTGCTGGCTTCTCCCAAATGATTAATTAGTGGCCTGTAAAACAACATTAATCAGGAACTTTTGCTAATAACACCACCTGTACCAAGACAAGGTCGACATGCCCTGAACGGAAATGAAACTCGGCGCCTGTCGTCTTGAGATAAAACGTATTAAGCTGTTAAGTTGAAAAGGTCAGAAGATAGTGTGAAGGGCGAAGGGCTATAGTTGGAAGCACATGCATTGGTCCATCTCAGCGTGTGTGGAAACTGAAACGACTGGACTGATAAAAAGGCCCAAAAGATTAAGGCATGTAATATACAGGCGTGTTCGATGACCAATGACAATGTAGATTAGTTGTGATTAGGGATAGTCTAAAGATATTTTAAAGATATTTTGCCACTTATTTGAAATGTGAAAAGTATCTAGCCCGATACCCAATGTTGCAGTCGAGTGAATAGGTGCAGCGTGTGTAGCACCTTCATCAATGAAAAAGTGCGTACCGCGAAAGCTGATTTTATGTCGTTCTAAACTACCAAGAAGAAGAGCGCTGTGTGACACATTGGATGTTGGTTTAATATTGTTTTCAATCAATCCCCGTAACTTAAATGGAAATGTCTGTATCATCACGGTATCAAAATCCAAATACAATAACCAGCACGAAGCTTTGAAAAATACTTATCGAATCGCAAAACCAGAAATCTCAGCGTAAAACCAGAATTGAATGTCGTTCATGAAGAAAAGACGTTGTTTAATGTGCCACTGCGTCTGTGTGATGTGCGTCTGACCCACACGTACGTTTGTAGAGCTGGAGAGCCATCATTTGACAGGAATCTTGCACAAGTGTGGAAGACTTTGTCCACATAGACGCAGTTTCGTGCCTCGCGTGTCATCAAGTGCTGAGTTACTGCAGAGCAGTACGTGGACCTATGTTAGTATGTATGGTGTATAAATATATACGCCTGGCATAGTTTAGGTATAACAAGCTGTGACAGAATACGTAGGAGAAAATGATCACAGTTTCACTTTTAAAGTGACAAACAGCGATGGATCTTTGCTGAAGCATAGTTTTATTTGGTACTTAATTGTTTACAAACATGCCGAACAGGTTCAGATCTAGCACACGAGCTGCACAGATGGAGACCTTCTCTAAAAGAGCTATTAATATATAGCTGGAGTCTTAAGTGGCAAGATTCGAAAAGAATGGCTATATTTTTTCATTTTTTTTTAAACGCGTGAAATAACTTTGTCATGATAGATGGTTATGAAATGAAATTTTAAGAGGATGGGTAAATATCTTATCTTCTGTCATCATAGGAAATTCAAATCAATGTTGAAAGTAATATAGTCGCCAAGTTGGTAAAATACGGACCAGGACTTTCCTGTGGTGTACTTTACTAGTGTGTAAAAGCTTGTGTAAAACTTACGTTAAAATCAACCAATATTGTACTATAATTGCACGTGTGAACTATAGTCGCCACTTTAAAAGTGATTGTCTAATCCTTTTGGGCGTTTCTACTGGCAACGGATTTATAATCCGACTTAATTACAAGTGTTCAAAATGCAACACATATCTGATAATATTGGCATTACATATTACTAGTTTTTGATAAATAGATAGATAGATACAGTATAGTCTGGTCAATTATGGTAAGAAATTTCATTCGATTTTGATCAATTCTGTTGAATTTGTATGTGGATTTTGTTTCAGAACCCATGAAACGCAGGTGGTTGGAGTTTGTCGCCAAAAATGTACATCTCATGACCAATGAAATGTCTCCGTTTCAATATATAATGACGTCACTCTACATCCGTCCGCCATCTTGTTTCTCTACCACTCACGCACTACTAGTGGTGGAGAAAATGAACAAAGATGGCGGACAATATTAAAATCGTGAAATCATGTGCATGTGTATCGAAAGGGCTATACTTAGAATTGAAAATACCACATCATTTACATTATCTCTTTTGCCATCTAGTTTTCTTGATATTGTAGATATTGTGTTAAATTGAAACGGATGTGCAAACTAGTAGTCCTGTGCGAATTAGTGTGAATGTTTTGTAGACATTGCGGTGCAATAAAGAAATATCTTTAATCGCCGATAATGTTGTGTATGTTGCTTCTTTGTTCATGAATCATCATATTTAGGAGGCAGGCTAAAACGTATGAATACACGAGTTCAGTATTTTTTAACGCCAACGGTTCTGGTAGAGTTCAATGTTTCTGATAATATATTTATACGTAAACCAAGTATTGCATGATAAACAGAAAGCAATAACCATACCTTAGCTTAGGCGGGGAGGAGTTCTCTAAACTTACAGACCAAGAAAAAACTATTCTTCTTTTAACTTCCCAAAACCCACAAATTTTGGAAAAGGTGGGACATTACGTCTTCCATGGTTTACAGAAGAGAAGTCAAACCCTTCAGACATAGTTTTAGACATAGTTATAGTTCTAGACAGCTACCTTTATCATGTAGACTTTAGTTATTTTATACTCTATTTCATTGTGCTTTTATGTTATGTAATTTGCAATTAGCCCCCGGGCACGAATTTGCAATAAACTTTTCGTTATGGAACTAGTAGAAGGAAGACGCAATGGTGTTATCAGACAACTATGTCCATCGATCACAGTCAAGAGGGAGACAGAGACCTTTACCATTTAACCGATTCAGCATTTTCTATCAGGTAGGATCAACTTCACGTGTACTAGCGGGCGCCTCTGTTAGGTATGAAAACCATGTATCGTATGCGTAGTATGTATCGCTCCCTTCGTCACGCGATATACGGCCCTTTGAAGCCGTATCCAAGGTTTTGTTGGCGAATACTATCAGAAGAAGGTTGATACACTATCGTAGAAAAGTAGGAATCTCAAAGAAGACGCCTCTCCTATCTAGGGCATTTTAAAAAGTGCACTGTGTGTGTTCAAGTGACTGCATGAGTACCATGGATACTATCTTTAAAGGGCAGGCAAGAACAGCAAAGATGCTTCGTCATCTAAAAATGCATTGGTTTGTATGGGGAGAAAGTCAGGCTGAGGGACGTTTGGTAATCAGCCTGGAAGCCAGCCTGTTTCCAGGGTCTACACAGGACAACTTCTCGGCCCTATAGCAAGTTACCCATATGCATGGTCTAACTCTGTGGTACTACTTAATTATTGGGGGTATGTTAGCCCGTTAGAGTTGGTCTGTGTCTGAGACCCTGGAAACAGTCTGGCAGCCGGGAAACCAATTCACCATCTACAACATGTAACATGTCCTCCCAGAGGTTGGGCTGTGTCTCAACTGTTTTCAGAAGTGGATTTTTGTCTGTAGTGATAACGGTCTTCACCTGGCCGACCACGTGCACAGTGCGTCTCTCAGCAGGCAGACATCACCTGTAATGGCCAGTGGGCCTACAGTGGCCTGTGCGGCGGCGCGGTGCTACATGTATGTTTCCACGTCCCGTGGAGCCTGTTTGTGCGGGAATGACAGAAATGCTGCGAGTGTGGCCGGAATGAAGGCCACAGGGAGACAAGGCAGACGCCAATAAACAGCCACGGGAGCTCACGACGACAGAGGACAACCCGGCGGGCTCTATTCTCCAAGCAAAAGTTTGGATTTTGGCTTTTTCTGGCGCCTTTTTTTATCAGGCTTCCTTTTTTTTTGCACTGGTATTTTTTTTACGCCAATCCCAAAAAGATACCAGTACATAAAAGAAATCCCGATAAAAAGCCTAAAAACACACCAAAACCCAAACATCTGCTTGGAGAGTAGGCTGACTCATCTGCGGTGGGAGGGTTTAGGGAAGGGTGGGGGGTGTGGTACGGATATAAACCGATCTTGCTCAATGATAACTGGCCTTCCCGCCCCTTTTACGTAAAGCGTAAAATGTGGAAGATGTTTTGATCTCCCATAAGTCGTTGGGAAAGCATTATAATTACCCCATTATTCGTTGCGAGCTGGCCGTCACGTAGGCCACAACTCTTAATAATATTTTTCAAGCAAAGCACTTTAGGGATCCATACCCAGGCTCCGATCTATAAGATATATATTTACACATACGCGCCGTGATACCATGCATGGCAATGTTACACATTCACCATCACATTTATTCTATCCATTTTCATCCCAACTTTTGCTGTCATCACCGAATTTCAGCGTGTGTACCCTGGGCGGCTCTCGCCTGCTGACAGAGGAATGCCCGGGACAAGCCCACGGACTTGTTCGCGACCGCAAGTTGGCGGCCAAGTGCATCAATTAGATAAGGAACATCCCCTCTTTACAGCCACCGGGTACTTTGTAAAACCCTGCGGTGAGAGGTTGCCATCCCTTAGCGCAGTGTGCCCGAGGATTAGTTTTAACTGAGTGTATATATACAACCACTGGACGCCCTGTCTTCAGTCTGCAGCGCAAATCCGTGTTCGTCTGAGCCTTCTGATGAATAAGCCACGTCTTTAATGCCTCTTTCATTAAGCTAGTTTTGTTCTGTTATGTCTGGGGCTGTGTTACTTTACAGGTTAGCGTCCGGGTGGCCTTCCGCGGCCCAGACAACAACAAACCGGGCTGAGGCGTGACGGGCCGCCGGGCTTCTACCTTTATTACACAGGACAAAAGATGTGGGTATGCAGGACTGGCATAGAGGGACAAGGGGCCTAAAATATAGCTCCAAGTACAAAATTATCTTCGTAAATCTCCCTGTGAAGTCAGCTTCATTGCTTTTTTTGGTCCTTCTCGATTTTTATGATTGGAATATAATGAACCATGTAAAACTATGATTCAAAAGACAACCATGCACACGAAACGTAAAAGAAATCATTCTTTGTCTTCAAAATTCTTTCAGCGAGCTGTGAATTTTTTGTTGGCTCAGCGGCCGCAACATTTAGTTCGTAACTCATGTTTCCATAATACACATCCTCTATTGTGCAAAGATATGTATAAAAAGCAAGGGTGGTGTATATCATAAACTAGACAATGTGTACCCTTGCAGAAAAGGTTGAGTCGGGTTGGGGGTTGAGTAGGCCCACCCACAAAGGCGTCCGTCGTCGCTTGCGATGTTGGATGCTTCTAGGTCTAAAAACTTAAAGCCTATTGCTGACAACAGACTGCTTTTTCCACTATTATTAAGTCCAGTTGCTTTCCTCTTCTCATTGTGTTTGCGTTCGTGCATAAAGTTTGAACCTCTGTTTACTAATATCACAGCGTCCTTCACCTTTATCATTATTATAACGCTAGCTTCGTGAAACGTTATTTTACATACAGATAGAACACCACTGTGCAACCATCTCCAGGAAACGTAAATGTTTAGAATAAAAAAACAGCATTGTTTTCGCGAAGAAAAATTGTGAAGAAAACTGTAGTCACCTCCATAGATCCGTCGTTTCAATGTCAAACTGGTGCATATACCAAACACCAGACGCGGTGCATGTACATGTATATAATGTCTAGATGGACGCTAGCTTTGACTCTAGCCTCGACGCTAGCCTCTAGGAAGCGGTTTGAAGAGTAGAAATTTGCCAAATGGCAGATAAGATGAAAGTTGGTCCATTAAAGTAATGTCCCGAAATATACTCCTTAGCGGACCAACTGCCCCTGGCATGTTATCCGTCTATCTGGCAAATTTCTACTCTTCAAGTCTCTTCCGAAGCCTGGTAGAGGCTAGATGGACGCTACACATAATCTCCAAGCAGATCGTTTGTTGGGGGTATTAAGACAGTATCAAATTGGACAGACTGTAACCATTTCCAAACACAAGGTGGTGGTAGAGACAAAAAAATGGCCATATATAAAAAGCAAACGATCTTCCACCATCAACCTCTGCTTGGAGAGTAGCTACACGCTCATCCGGAGCCGACTGAAACACAACGTGACAGGTGACCGATGAGGGTTCTCCCCTCCGGGTTGACAAAACAATACATCTACCGTCTAATTTGTCCCTCTCTTTTGAAGTGCCACCGGAAGGACTAGGGAAGCCGTGAGCTGGCTTTGAACACAGCCGCTTAGCGAATCCCTCTCACTCCTCCAACTACAGAACACAAAATCTCCGACTGTTGGTAAACAAAAAGGCAGTCTTGTGAGACTTCTCCAGACTTCCTTATCCAAATCCGGCACACAAAAGCTCTAACCGGGGGAGCTTTCCGATCAAGTATACGTCTATTAAGATGCGTTCAATGCGTTCAGCTTCGCGCTCTGCTAGCGCTCGGGACAAATGCTGACTGTTCCTAAAGATGTGTATATTCCTATGGGCGGAAAGGAGCAATTTAGTCCAATTGTCCGGAAGAGTCCGTGTCAAGTTCGCAGCTTAACCTCAGAAACAAACGCTGACAAAGGCCCGAGTCAGAAGGCTTGTCACCTCAGTACTGCAGCTGAATGTCTGGTACAAAATTAACTTGTATATATATGTGTATTGGAAAAATCCATTTTCATTTGAGTCCGGCGACGTGTTGAGTGCAGTTAAAATTGTTAAGCCTATTGTCAATAGAACGTCTATTTTTCCATGTCGCACATTTTGTAGGTGGTAGACTTTGGTAATCTCCAAGCAGATCCCTATCGGTGGCGAAAAAGACAGTATCAAATTGGCCAGGCAGTATCCATTGGCCAGAGAAGCTCCATTAGCCACCGACGTTGGTGGGGATCAGAACAAAACAAAAAACAAAAAAACGGCCATATATAAAAAGGTAACGATAATTCCCCACAACCTCTGCTTGGAGAGTAGACTTTGGTTCATAATACAATACTGAACAGTTTGAAGAGAGTTTTTGTGAGTAGATGGAATGTGCAGGTTGCATTCCAACCAACCAACCAACCAACCAACCAACCAACCAACCAACCAACCAACCAACCAACCAACCAACCAACCAACCAACCAACTAAATAACCAACTAAACAAACAAACAAACAAACAAACAAAAACTAAACAAACAAACAAGCAAGTAAACAAACAACTAATAAGTAACTTAAGAAAGCAAACAATATTTTTAAGCCTCATTTAGCTAGGTGATGCATGTACCTAGCCTGCCTTTTATCTTGCACGCTTGAAATATCCTGTACCCGGAGTGGTGATCATCTTGTTTACATGTTGTTGATTTGTTTTATTGCAATGTAGATCATGTAATATAGATCATGCAGGTGAAGACAATAAATACAATATGTAACCTCTGGTCAGCCCAAATGTGGATAATGGCACCAGGAATCCTCTCCCATATGTTTCAGGGTATGTATTGGCTCTTGCATACCGGGACAGAAAACCGTCTCATCGTTTGGCCGTGGTTCGGCGATGTACTATGAGAAATACGTCTGAAATGAAGAAGATCACCACTCCCTCAACCAACATCTGCTTGGAGTTGCCCAGTAACTCAGGTTTTTACCCGTCATGCTTTGTAAAAACCAAGATGGCGCAAAGATAGTCGAAGAAATTTTTTCCCGAAAGTTGTAGCAACTTTGTGACCAAAGACGTCCCCCACCATGTGTGGTCTATGCTGTGTTTTATCACGGAGATCTGCTGGAGCTTCTCAGGTGCGTTCTGTGTTGCTCCTCTGCTTTAGCGCTTTGAATAACCCATTTTTTATCCTGTCTGAGAGTAGAGTGGGGGAGGGGGGCAGCGGAGTGAAAATTTATTATAAAATTATTAGACTTGAACAACTTGCACATAAATTATGTTGCAGTATGCATTTCCGCCCACATGTCATACGTAAACAAGCTCTACGATTAGCTCCTATAGCCTCAAGTGCACATCTACATCTACATGTAGGATAATTAACCACCTTGGATACACCATGGTTACAGTAACCACCTTGGTTGCAGCTATGGTTAACTTAGCCGTGGCGACTCTTGAGGTAGCAGAACACAGTATTCATCTGCGACCCCCGGAGATGCTGACGTAGGGATAAGAAATGAGTGCGACAAACAGCTTGCACCGCTTGTACACAGCCTAACGTGGATGACACCGGGACATACAAGTTACCGTATGGTACCATAATATGTCGGCTTTGATATCGCATAATTGAGATTAGGAAGGCTGCTCGATCGGCGTATAAATGCGCCTGACCTTTTCGCTGCCTGCCAGGGTGAGTCGGCTGCAGTTCCGGTGCGCTCCGCAGGAGGCCATTTAAAAGAGGGCGGCATAATGTCAAAAAAACGATAACTTTTTGTACTTTTTTGTTATTTTGTACATCGTACCCTATATTTGAACATATTCGTTTCTCATGCTTTTCTATGGTACCCTAGTGTATTTTTATCCGCGTCGATGTCAGTCACTTCCGGGTCCTTAACTATAGAAATCCCCATAGGCGAAAAACTGTGTTCTGCTACCTTGACTCGGGCTATATGGTTACCTCAACTGTATGTGGTATCAAGGTATATATGACATGCAGGTTTGTAGGCAATTTCAGGTGAAAAGGACCTTATTTCAAATGAATGATAGAATTAGACAACAATGACTTATAATTTATAACATTAAACAACTTAAAAAGGGTATGCATATGTAAAGCCCAAAACTATGGTGCCACCTGTGACTGTTTTGTAGGATTTTTTGCTGTCATAGAACGGACCAAAACTTCTGGAGGAGGCAACAACACATTACTACAGATGCCTCTTATCTTATTTTACAGACTCTGTGCTAAGAATGGCCAGGTAGTTCCTATTGGATTTGCCCCAGGCTGCATATTCTCAGGAACAAGTCTATAACACAGGTGTGTAGAATGCTCGACACCTTAACCAGGAAAGTAGTGTTACCGCTCGGACAAACATGGAACAGAAGGAGGGCTTCCACATCCTGCAGATTAACTCGTCCTTCGTGGCGGGGATAGGGAACATGGTGACGTTTGCGCCAGCTGACGCCGCGCCAGAACCAAGCAGGTCCGCTGCCAACTGCCAAAGAACAGAGGAAGAACTGCTGGAAGATCGTAGCAAACACAGGGTACAGAAACTTCCATCGACGCGGGGACAAAGACGGACCAGACCGTACAACCTGGACCGCCCTTCGCGCCACACAACAAGAAAGGCAGCATACAAGAACAGCCAACCGTGTCATGAGTCTCAAGAAGGCCTGCACAAAATGGTCCTAAGACACAGGTCAGGGTCAAAGTTATTTGAAGACCTTCCACTGGACAAATTGGAGATTTCAGAGGAAGGAAAGAACAGAGTGAAGCATGTTGGTGAGATGGAAAAAGTGGCAAAGGACATGAAGGACTTGAACATGTCAGAACCAGAAGGGAAAAAGGAGACAAGTTCATAGCTTATTGGACATGTGGTTTACAATGTATAAGGCCACACCAATTTAATTTCTTGGTTAACGGATTCGCCCGCTTCATTTTTTTCTGATTTGCAAATAAAAAAAAAATCAGAATCAACTGCAAAATGCTCATATTTTACCCTTAACAGTTGAAAACAGTCCTTTTCATATATAATAGTTGTTACAATTATTCCATCTTTCAATGCAATGGAATCATTAAAAGTTCAAAATTCCTTGTTTAAATTTTGAACCAGCCTGATGTGATGACTTAATGGCTCCTATCGTACCATTTTGGGCCATAATAGAATGCCTAGGCCTGTTTTTATTTTCTATTTTTTTTTGCCCGCCCGCTGCATTATTTTCCTAGCAAAATCCGTTAACCAAGAAATTAAATTGGTGTGGCCTAAGGCCTAGGAAAAAAAAATGTTGTGTTTCCTGTTTCCCGACCGACCCTTGAAAAACTTGCTGACCCTAGACTTTTTTGGTTGGACCCCTCCAAAGGACATAAATTTTTCAAGCTGATCAATTTTTTCTAGCTCCATGATCTGACAACGGAGTGATAGAATGTTGTACAGTCACTTATCAGTTTTCTAACATTGACATTGAAAATAAAAGTGTCCTCATGCAAAAGATAATCCTTACCTACCCACCCTAATTTTTCAAGACTGAAACAGGAAACACAACATTTTTAATTTTTTGTTGTTGTCAGAGTAGGTTTATTTAGGCCAGAGAATGATGCAGTGTGGATTCTTGAAAAGTAGCAAATCTTTCTCATGTATATGCATGCATATTTTTTCATCATTAGGCCATACCAATTTAATTTGTTGGTTCTCGGATTTTTTCAGAAAAAATATGAAGCGACAGGGCGAAAAAAAATAAAAATAAAAACAGGTCTAGGCATCCTATTATGGCCCAAAATGGTACGATAGGAGCCATGAAGTCAACAAAAAAGGCTGGGTTAAAATTTAAAGTATAAATTTTGAACTTTTAATCAAACCACTGCATCAATAGATGGAAAAAACTGTAATAACTAGGAAGAAAAGGAATTTCCTCAACTGTTGGGGGCAAAATATGAGCATTTTTGAGTTGATTCAGAACCAGAATCTTTTTTTTCTTTTTTTTGCAAATCAGAAAAAAATGAAGAGGCGAATCCGAGAACCAACAAATTAAATTGGTGTGGCCTTACATATTTTTTAAAAATCATTTGCTGCTATGTAATGCAAGACAATGGGCAGCAGTACAGTCTGACCCCAAGTTTCAGTTTTGTAATTTTACTTGTTACAGCTTGTTTTCATAGATAGGCATATTCCAGAGTGCTCCTGTTTTGAGATTACATCCTTCATAGGTCAAAAGTATATATTGCATCGATAAATGCATCAATGGATAGCAAATGGCAGTAATACTATATGTTTCTAATGTGAGAAAGAGCTCAGGGATTATGGGTGGTTGGTCCATGGGCACTGTTCTCAATTGTATAATTACTGGAATGAATATGCAATCATTTGCTTTGTGATTTGCAATATGTATATAATGTGTGTTTTTAGGATTTTTGTTGGTAGGTATGACTACTTGTTTCTTTAGGTAAATGTGTCCTTCACGTACCTACCGGTAGTAGCTCTACTATGCAATATATTATTGTAACAAACATTTTTGCCGAATATTTTGTGTTCCAGTTTTTTTTACTGTTGTTGAATGCAGTACATGGAGATAATCACTGTATGTAAGTTACTCTTTTTTTGTATATTTATGCTCATGGTACCAATAAAGCAATCACTGGGAAAATAATTACAAGTGTTAGTATTTCCTGAATTCCTTTGCCTCTTTCTATTAAATTTGTATATAATATATCTTAAATTTTACAAACATGCCAGCTACATGTTACCCACATGTATGAGTGTGTAGATTAGAAGTATATAGTTTGGACTCAAATACATGTATATGCAAGACATAACTTGCAAAATTATACTGGTACATTTAGTGCTGCATACCGGTTCACTGGACTTGGATCCGGACTTGTAAGAATGTTAAGGTTCAAGTCCAAAAAAACCTAAAAGTCAAGAACCGAGTCCGGACTTATTACCATAAAAGACCATTTTACATACCCCTTTTCATTCCAAACCACCTAAAACGTAGATTGCAAAATCTTTGCTGCAAAATGAAGAAAACATTGCCATCGGGCGTCGTCAAGTACCGGCCTCCATGTTATGTGGCCAAAGTTTCACCCAGACAACATTGCAAGGTTGCCAACATGCAATTTTGTATTTGCCATGGGTTTAGGTCCGGACTTACAAGTCCAGAACTGAACCAAAACCGCTGGACTTGAATCCGGACCTGAACCTAAAATTGGGTTTAGGTATGCAGCACTAGGTACATTGCTTCATAAAAGATATGGTACTGGTAAGGCATCATTTGTAAGAAATCTTAAGTTGTATTTCTTTCGTGATTACTAAGTATTTATTTACCCAGCAGTCCCCTTCGATCGTCCAAGAAGTCCAACAGAACATATTCCGTAGAGGTCCCGACTGTCATCACATCCTTCAGGACCTCTGTCTGACCTCTGACCCCACCACACGGCATTATGGGACATTTCTGGGCTCGGTGCTGCACATGCGAGGAGAGATTACCCAGCAGCCCTGTCAGGACCAGTGGGGGAACATTCTGCTATGGAACGGGGAGATTTTTGATGGGATAAAGGTGAGAACAACTAAAGTCTTAACATGAATTATATGTTAAAAGTTAAAACTTTAGATCCAACACAAAGAAGTTCTCTCAACTAGAGAAGGGCCCTGACATCGTCTACCAGATACCTTTGACCCAGTGTTGACGTTACACTTCAAAGAAGCCATGTGACAAGCTTCACTGGGTCAGTCTACTGAAGAAGACCAGAGTGACTGGTCGAAAGCTCTTGGTGAGAGAACTTCTTTATGTTAAATCTAAAATTTTAACTTTAAACATGTAACAACCAACACAGATGAACTTTCATGATAGTAAATGGAGTTTTATTACTGCTGGGTATGGAAGTATATTGTTTTGGGTGGGTGAGTTGTGAGTTTGTGTGACTGTCAAAGTAGCGACTACAGTTCAGTGGAGGGTGGGAAGTCATTTTGACAGTTGATTGACAGGGAGGTAGAGCCTGAAGGTCGTCAAAATATGTCTAGAGGGAGTTCAGGAAGTGGTGTAATACCCAAATAAATTCCGTCATAGTACAATCAATCCCCTCCACAGTTTCAAAACATTCACGAAAACCCAAAACTTCCCAGAGGTCTATCAGCTTCAAAGGTCTTTAAAACCTAAAATACTTCCTGGAAATCTCAAATCTCTGATTTCTTGTTGTAATTTTTGGCCCTTGAGTGACTGTCCATTTAATACTACTTACTTGTACTTGTTGAGGTCTCCTCGAGTCAGTCGTTCGAGTGGCCTGCGCACAGAACTCGTCTCTTCCTCAACAGTCCTCTCCACTCCTTCCATTTAATAATCATGAAAAACTATTTCAGATATTCAAGTGCAGCTTAGCAGTGCCAACTGTTGTTCCTGTTGTAATTTTTGGTCCTTGAGTGACTGTCCATTTAATAAGGCCATGTTGATTTGATTATATGGATGACATCCTCCGGGAGCCCCAAAACTGATGCGCGTGTGCGAATAAAAAAAAAGTTTTGCAAAAAAAAAAGTTGTTTTCATTATGAAATCTGTGTGGTCATGAGGGTTGAACAAATGGGACAGAATATGGTTTGGCGAATAATCTAATCTTCAAGTTCATTTCCTTACAATTTTGTCTTTTTTCGTTTGATTTTGGCATTCTACGACATTGGTATAGTTTTTACTTATTTTTTTGTAACTTACGGTATATTTTTGCTCATTTTGCAACTGTTTTGTACGATTTACAGTATGGTTGAAAACTTTTTTTTTGGAAACGGCCAAAAATTCATGCGTGCGCGGATGTCATCCATATAATCAAATCAACATGGCCTAATGAAAAACTATTTTAGATATTCAAGTGCAGCTTAGCAGTGCCAACTGTTGTTCTTACAGGTGGAAGAGGGCCACAATGACACGTCTGTCCTCCTACAACTGCTTGCTGCCGTCCATGGTGAGGAGGGTCTCCTCCAGGTGTTCCAGAGCATCAAGGGCCCATGGGCATTCATCTACTGGCAGGTACATCGTTCAGACATAAATGTAGGCACTAGGGCTGCATACTGGTTCACTGGACTTGGATCCGGACTTGTAATAATGTTTAGGTTCAAGTCCAAAAAAACCTAAAAGTCAAGAACCGAGTCCAGACTTATTACCAAAAAGACCATTTCACATACCCCTTTTCTTTCTAAACCACCTAAAACCTTCCGTAGATTGCAAAATCTTTGCTGCAAAATGAAGAAAATATTGCCATCGGGCATCGTAAAGTGTCGGCCTCCATGTTATGTGGCCAAAGTTTTGCCCAAACAACATTGCAAGGTTGCCAACATGCAATTTTGTATATGCCATGGGTTTAGGTCCGGACTTACAAGTCCGGAACTGAACCTAAACCTCTGGACTTGAATCCGGACCTGAACCTAAATGTGGGTTTAGGTATGCAGCACTAGTTGGCATGTGTCATGTCATATGAGTTTATCATTTTATTTACTACCTGAGTATTTTTTCTCAAATCGTGCATTTTTCCACACTGCTTTCAAGGCCCGTCTTGTGTATTACATTGTATTTCATGTAAACCAAGCTTCCTTTGTCTTTTAAGTTTTACTCACCAGATCATCCAGCCAACAGGCTGATATTCGAGACAAAATTACCGAGTGTAACACTTAGACTAAGTGATTCAGTGTGATAGGCAGCCAGACATGTTGAGAAGTTGAAATTAACAATCACTTGTGATTAAGATAACATTTGTCCACTGGTACAGGGAAAGGTCTTGGGCAACTTTATCAGGATTCAGGACTCAAACCTTGAGTGGCGCTGTTCATGCAGGGTTGGACAAGTTTTCAAAAATCTACATTGCCCTATCGGGCAAGCACATGGGCATTTCTACTTGCCCGAACCAACTTTTCACTTGCCCAATGCAAAATAGCAATGACATATTTCTATGCATTTTTACCACAAGGAAAATTTGTCAGTAAAAAAGCCCTTTATTATATTGTCCTATGCTTGACCACTATTCACCCCAAATAAAAGAGGTTTGAGACTTGCAAATGATTCTCTGACAAAAAGAGTCATACTTTTGACTAACATCAATAAGATATTATACATTATGGGAAAATGATGAGTGATTTTGCTCCAAACACTGGGGCATAATAGCCTGGGTACCATCCCCAGTAGTATATTCGCAAACTCTATAACTGGGTCTGGACTTGCACACATATAAAACGATTGGTCATGACGTCACGTAATGAGCTAGCCCGATCAGCGGGGCTTCATTTGATTGGCTGAGCCTCAGAGGCGACGGCCAATGGCGCGCCTGCATTATTCAAGTGATGTTTGTTGTTTTGTAAACACAGATCTTCGCGCGAGTGTTCCTTTTCTCGGCGCGTTCTTTTTTCTACCGGTAGGACGCCCAAAACATCACGAACGAAATTATTCAATGCATCTTTTTGCTCATTTTTGAGCGACGATATTCCGTCTAAATCGTCCAAAACGGACGTGATTGCGAGGTCAACATCAACCTCCGTGAGCTGAGCGGCTTGTTCGTCAGCCATGTTGATGATTTATCGCGGAAAGACTGACTACGGCTATATCATGTGCGCTTTAGCGTTCGGTTCGCCGTCGGACATGTTGATGATAAGGCGTTCGGACATTCGAACGGACGCTAACGTCGCCGTTCGGCCCTTACCTAATATGTACACACCCAAAAAAGGGCTTAGACGAGTAGGACCAATCAGCGCGCTCGTTCAAAATCTGAACGAATATTTAGACTCCAGACGCTACATATGTGTTCAAGTCCAGACCCAGTTATTATTATATAGTTTGCGAATATACTACTGGGGATGGTACCCAGGCTAGGGGCATAATGCCACATCTAAAAAATTTACTTGCCCAATCGGTCAAGTACAGGGTGACATTCACTTGCCCAAACAGTGCTTTTACTTGCCCTAGGCAATTGGGCAATGGGACTTGTCCAACCCTGTCATGTTAAATTAGGGTTGGCAGCTTGGGATTCTCACCAGAATTAATTGTTAAATGTACCAAACAGACCTAAATTTGTGGCCTTCTTTCCTTCGGTTTCCTGTTCTGAATAACAGTAAGCCCCATCAGACCCAGCCATGCCCCTTGGCTGGCGTGGGAATGGTAAACTGGATCAAAGGTCTGTTTCACAGACTCTGTTTTGAATGTTTTGAACTACAGGCTTCCGCTGCAATGATACCCGTTTACACTTGATAAGTCTAGTTTATGTTGTGCAGCTAAACATGTGAAGATAAGCCTGACCTTAGGCTGCAGGCCAGATACAACAACAAAGTCACAGCATATGCAGGGCTTGAAATACCACCTGCATATGCAGGTTAGTGCAGGTAAAATTGGAGCTGTGCAGGTACATGTGTGTGTGTACATGTATTTCTGATGTCTACCTGCACCTAACCTGTACTGGTCCATGCACTGGGTATATGCAGGTTAGTGCAGGTAAAACTGGAGCTGTGCAGGTATTTCTGATGTCTACCTGCACCTAACCTGCACTGCTCCATGTACATGTACTGGGTATATGCAGGTTATTACAGGTAAGATTGGAGCTGTGCAGGTATTTCTGATGTTTACCTGCACCTAACCTGCACTGGTCCCTGTACTGGGTATATGCAGGTTAGTGCAGGTAAAATTGGAGCTGTGCGGGTATTTCTGATGTCTACCCACACACCTATATAACCTGCACTGGGCTATGACAAAACAAGCCCCAGACACCGAGGGGACATATGACCAGCGATGGTCAAAATCTGCATTGTATTCTTCAAAGTAGCATCATTGAAGACAGCAGAGAACTTTGTAAAAATTGAAGAAAAAAAATGGTGCTACTGAGGACAATTTTTCAAAACATTTATTGATAAACTGAAAGGCAAAGAAACTGCAGTGCAGTTAAAACTTGCCAGGTGCAGGTAATTTTGAATATTGCCTGTGTAACAGTGGGGGGTTTATAGGCGCTACCAACTGATCTGGCAAACGGGTCTAGACCTTTTCGGCCGAGCGGTTAGAGTGTCTGACTGGGGCCTGGGAGGTTGTGAGTTCGAACCCCGGCCCGGGACCAGAAGGGTTTTTACTGGCTCCTCCTGTTTCTTACACCTGCACTTGTGCATAAAAATGCATTAAAAAGTATTTCCAGCCCTGACATGCTTTGGGAACACTAAACTGGGTCACAGGTTCTACCATGAGATGTTTATTTCAAATTTCAGGCTGGTTCCAAACAGCTGTGGTTTGGCAGGGACTACTTTGGCCGGCGCAGCCTCCTGTGGCGCGGGGAAACAGACGTGTTTGCACTCAGCTCAGTCACAGTCAGGCCAGCGCTGCAGGACAGCCAGGTTAGGGACCTTCCATTGATGCTTCAAGGGGGATGAAAATGCATTTATGGATTCATCCTTAAAAGGCCAAAGAAGGTGGCAGAATTTTTTACTGACATTACAACAGTCACTCATAAATTTATATGTAGTCATTACATTTTTCATTAACCTGCTTCCCTTTTATTTGCATCATAATTTCCTATACTGATATCTATATTCAAGCCCTTCACCATCTCATTTACTTTTTTTTCTAAGATTTTTAATTGGTCTGAAGTACATAAAGTAGGCATTCATTTGGCAATCACTTCTTGAAAAATCAAAATAAACAAATAAACAAAATTTGTTAATGAAAACTTCTCTTTCTCAGTGGCAGGAGATTCCAGCCAAGGGAATCTTTTGTATTCCAATGGAATCATGGGTAGCTGACACACCGTTGTCAATCAAATGGTTTCCATGGCAACATAAAAATGGGACCGCCCATTCTAGCTGTCCTGACCCATTTGCTGATGAAGCTGGCAATTTATGGACAGGTGTGAGAATTGAAAAGATGGACAGTGGTCCACGGTCACCGGTTTTACCCTTCAATTGCGAACTTCCTGACATTGAAAGTCAAAACGTTGACTTATCGAGTCCAACGGACAGAACTAGTGTTAAAAATGGCCTTCAGTTGGCAGCAAGTAGTTCCACAGAAGCAAGTTGCGGCCCTGGTAGCATTGCAAGGTGTGATGTCAACGATCTACGCAAAGGTACGGAGAAACTTGCAGCGATGCCGGACATTTTGGACCAGATTGTTGATGAGAAGCTGAAGACGTTGGCAGTCCAGTTGATCACAGTTCTTGGGGAGGCCGTCAAACGGAGGGTGTTCAATGTCCCCAGGGAGAGAGGGTCTAATACAGCCAAGTCCACCGTTCAAAAACAACATGTTGAACAGCTTGACTCATTGGAAAACCTCCAGGATAGGGCCGAGCAACTCCTGCTCTCTGATGATGCACGTGGAGAGGCTTGTGCTGCACCTGCTGTGAAAACCGGCTGTCCTGAAATGTCTTCGAAGGTGGAAATGAGGACAGCAGCTGTGCAGGACTCAACTGAAGAGAACTGTCCTGAAAAGTGTCGAGTGGCCATTTTGTTTTCAGGAGGAGTGGATTCAATGGTTATAGCAGCCTTAGCTGACAGGTGGGTGTGATGAAGTTAACTCCTGGTTTTATATACCTTCAAACTCCCTGTGTTGAAGAATTTTCCCTTATGATTATTTCACATGATAGATTTCTCCGACATACATTTGTAGGCTATGAAGGTTTCATATTTTTAACTTTTGATCTTTAAGTAGCAAAAAAGAATTAATGTTGCTTTTGGATAAACCATGTATTAGAAGTCAGTTAGACTTCACTTATTTGCACATCAATCAATAGTTTGTGCTTATAAACCTGCATTTCTGATAAGTCTCCAGTGTCACTGATGAAAGGCAGTGGATGCTACCTGAAACATCTGACCGTTTCCAAAATCATGTCCAGTTGCTTGCGTAACTGTTTCTGTTGGCATGTACATGTATAATAAGCTCCATCTGTTCTTACACTTACTAGTATAACTGTTTTAGAAGCAAGAAGAAGTCAAATCTGTACATACTAATGAATTACATATAGTATTATAATGAGTGGGGTCGTGTGGCGTAATGGCAGCGTGCGCAACTCGGAATCAAGAGGTCCTGAGTTCGAGTCCTGACACGCCACCGATCTTGTGCCCATGGGAAAGGCACTTTACACAACTTTCCCCACTAGACTCAAGTGAAAATGAGTATTGTCTGTCCAGTATCCGTTTCTATGTGCGGGACACAACACCAGCAACAGCTGCCTCTGTTCCGCATGTATCGCATTGTTGCAATTTCAATAAAATAAGAAAAATTCAAAAAATGATTTTGATTGGTTCCCTCCAGATTTGTCCCACCAGAAGAGCCCATCGACCTCCTGAATGTTGCCTTCCAACAGAAAGAGAAACAACACCAGCCTGGGAAGAAGAAAGGGAACAAAAAGCAGGAAGAGGTTGTCCACAGTCATTCCTTTCAGGTGCCTGACAGAGTCACAGGGCTCCAGGGGCTGGAGGAGCTGGTCAGGATCAACCCAAACAGGCACTGGAACTTTGTGGAGGTAAGTTGAAAGCCATTATTCCCCTATCCCATACATGTGTTCATTACTGAACAAATATGGACAATAATCATCCCTAAGGCCACACCAATTTAATTTCTTGGTTAACGGATTCGCCCGCTCCATTTTTTTCTGATTTGCAAATAAAAATAAAAATTCAGAACCAACTGCAAAATGCTCATATTTTGCCCTGAACAGTTGAAAACAGACCTTTTCATCCTAGTTGTTACAGTTATTCCATCTTTCAGTGCAATGGTATCATTAAAAGTTCAAAATTCATTGTTTAAATTTTGAACCAGCCTGGTATGTTGACTTCATAGCTCCCATCGTACCATTTCGGGCCATAATACGATGCCTAGGCCTGTTTTTATTTTTATTTATTTTTCGCCCGCCCGCTCCATTATTTTTCTAGAAAAATCCGTTAACCAAGAAATTAAATTGGTGTGGCCTTATACTGTTCATCGTGATATCAAACAACTCTTAACTTGTATATATTGAATTTAGTTACTACTTTTAAACATGTGAAACTGAATAACTCCAAATATTGCGTGTACATTTTTTATATGATTTTATGCTGTAACTAAAAGATCATAGTCTTATGAGCAGTAATATAGTTCCCTGCAAACAAGTATTCTTAATTAATAACCAAAGGATTCAGAATTATGTGCAATATTATATGTCTTTGTGAGCGTTTTTAAAACAAATTGTCTGTAAATTGACTGCAATTCAGTGATATTCTCACTGCGATAGCTCAATAAAGATATCTTGAATCTTGAATCTTTCATGTTACTGAGCTGGGCTTGAATCTTTCATGTTACTGAGCTGGGCTTGTCAGCACTGCGGCAGTACGTACTGCGCAGGTGCAGTATGTTCTGCCGATGTGCTGGGCTTGTCACAATGCATGATGATGATGATGGTGATGACTGATTTATCATACACATACATCACTCACAGAAACATATACAGGTTAAATGTCTTGGCTGAATTGTAGACTGTACAACTTAAAAGCATTAAGAATGTCATAAGTTCAGACTATTAATCTTACAATACAATAAAATATACATATTACAAAATCAATGGTACAGTGAAACTGTGATCGTCCAGTATAACAACATAACATTCTCATACAAAGTATTGTTTTTCTTTCCACATGTACAGGTGAATGTGACCTTGGATGAACTGAGGGAGAGGAGGTACATGTATACAGATTACTCTTTATTCATCTCTTCTTTTGTAC